CAGGAACTAGTCGATCATGGGGCACATACATCCACCCTCGGAGGGAAAGAGGGATTCTTGGAGGAATGGGGGCGGACAGACCCCGTTCAAGGTCTGATTCCCCATACTACGGTCCTCGAAGGAATTCATCGTTCTGTCAAAGCGTACTGAGAGGATGGTGACGCTTGCGATGTCGGTCGGAAGAGGATCATAGTATGGAGATCCAGCTGGTCAAGGAAGAGAGGGTGTACCACCTGTGCGCGAGACTCGCGACCACAAGTGAATGAGGAAGACGAATCCGGGGGAGGGGGGTTGGTGGGGATACACAATCACATATAGACGAGTCTAAGAGGGAGGCAAACGGAAAGGGAAAGAAAAGAAAAAACGGGGGATGATGTGAAACATGGGGGAGAAACATTCAGATATACCAAGGAAGTTGGATAGTAGGGTGGATTTGGAGTCAATGATGTACAGAACTAGAGCCGTTGGTAGTACCGAACCCAGGGTACTTTTCCTCTCGGACCACGAGCGGAATGAACACCAGACGATTGGACTCGGCGCATCAGAGAGTCCTCCACAACCGTCGCGCGAGATGAGCTTGGCAGGAGGACCGAGAGAGGGGAGAAATGAATTGTAGGATTTCATTGGGTTGGGATATCCATGGATCAGGATGGATCAGGGTCATCGCTGATAGATTACTGAATAGATTACCGAGATCTTCTCTTGACTATGGGTAATACGGTATTACCGGTCTGTAAGGAGACGGTACTGTCGGAGAGTCTTGGTTATGGAGTAACCGACAGGACCAGGAATCGTATCCTGGTTTGATTTATTTATTTTGTCCTATTTGATTTTTACTTTATTAATATTCTATTATGTTATTTTTATTATCTTATTTTCTTGTGCTATGTTATTATGTTATTATTGTTTTTTTACTTTTTACTCCCCACTTCTCCTCTTCCACTCATCCCCCCCCCCCTGGTACCTGCGCCGGATTGACTTTCTCTCCTCCCTCGGATGTCACGTTGGCTCAGACATTCTTTTCTTGGTTCGGGTTGCACGCGATGAAGGTCAATGAAGACTCCGTTTGTTTTGATTCACTGATATTCGTAGAATCAACATGTTGACTCCCACAGTCCCAACTGATGTCTCACAATGGGTTCAGATCTACATCGTGGGTGCTCCACTTACATTGACCAAGTCTATCTACGTAGTAGTATTCATGACTTACCCCTCGGTGTCGCATTGACATGTCCCCACCATTACTATCGATTGGATATCGCCTTAGTCTAGACTCTGTTGACCGGGGATAGCACGGGGTTGGTCTACTGCAAAACCAACACACTAACAGGATGTGGTCTGTTACTAACTCCCCCCTCTTTCAACCGATGCGGTACTCTCAGCTGCAAATCGCCACTAGTCCTTACTCTTTAGTCGTTTCGTCCTATGGAGAGTAAGTCAAGCCCGGCCTCCAGGAGTGTGCCCCCAGTCTCCACCGCATATGAACACGAGTCTCTCCCTCGGGTGGATCCCAGAGCCGCAAGGGACATATTTGGTCCGCTGAGGTTACAAAGGATTATCCTCGTTGGGTCACGGAAGGACGCGATGGGATGGTTCCTAGTGCTTGTCCGTGTCAATCAGGTTGATCCGAACAGCGACGGAGTACGGATTATGCTGTGTAGGTAAGTCTAGAGGGCTGGAGCCCGAGCATCCTTGTCGGCCAGCCAAGATGCCGGGTTTTTCTTTCCTGAGTCTGGATGCTGTGTTCTCAAAATCACGCACCCTGATCTGCGTTTGATTTGAATTTTTTTCCTGTTCTGTTCTTTTTCCACTCGCAGGAGATTGTCGCGTGGAAAATCCCGTTCACGTCGCTCTGTGGACGCGACTTAGGGCTCGGCTCTGATCGAAGTATTCGGCTAGGCATGCCCTGTCCCTGCTCCGGACGGGGTACGCGCATGGTGGTTGACTTGGCGAAAATTATGACAAGGCTGCCTTCTCGCCGGAAAATATTATGCGGGCGTTATCACCCCTTAATGTTCCAGACGCCTCGAACAATGCCATTAATAATATAGGCTAAACCGGGGGACATCTCCCTTCTCGACTGGGTATCCGAAAAGCATAAAACCCGGTGCGGCTGTGGAAAGTTCTATGGCAAGGTATGCATTCCTTATTCTTCTTCCTTATTCTTCTTCTATTTCGATCGCGGACGTCCCCATACTCAGTTGGAAGCCGTGGCAGTCGGTATAGGAGAGAATCATGCTGGTTGCTACCCACGAATGCAAGTTGTCGCGATCCTGCAGGTACAAAAAAGCAACGCATGGAAGCAATTGAAGCAGATGGCGAGAGCCTGCGGATATCCACACGATCAGCCAATGCTGACTCGGTCTTACACGACATTCGTAATTCAACTGCAAGGTACCCGGCCGCCTGTCATCAAATTCGCCATCAGGATTGGGCATCAAGATCGACGAATCGCCCATCGAGAATCCAGTCCACTATTGAAAATAAACCTGTCCCCCGGTTGTAATAGCTGCCCACTACTCTGTCCGGTCTCACCTAACAAGGCCTGGCCCCCGGAAATTTGGCGGATTTGGCTGGTCTTGCCTGTAAATATTGAATAGTTTCCGCCAATGTGCAGTAGGGGTTCCACTGCGATTTACCATCTACTGTACTATCCTTGTCGGGAAAAGAAGATTTTCTCCACGCATTTTGGCTTCGCGGTCAAAGCTCTTCGACGGAGGACGCCACCCCAGCCATGGGTAGGAGCATCGGACAATTGAGGGACAGACGCAAACTTTCGTCTAGCATTCCTAAATGGCCTGCTTCGGACGGTCCACCATCGTTCCCATCCTAGTAAGCAATCGTGTGCTCTGGATGGTTGAATATGACCGGTGCTGCGGTTGTCAATCACACGAGGGACAGAGACCAGTAAGGACCTGCACGCACGGGTTGACAGTGATCCGCGCACGATCTGGTGTCGCCCAGGAATTCTAGCTGGTTTCTCTTGGTTGTCTTGCGAATCTTGCCATCCGCTCGGCCCGTATCCCCAATACCTTGTGCGACTCTCGGTCTGTTTTCTCATCGTCTTCGTATGTTATATATATTTCATTCTCTATTTTTATCTTGATGCCTACGTTTTTGCCTCCCTTGACGGACATTGCCGTTCTCGTGACCTGATTCGGTGAGAATGTCTTGCGGGAGTGTCTCGGGCGGCCGAATCACGGCTCGTCATTGGAGTCGCCCGCGTCCAAGGCTGTGACCCTGATGGATCTTCCGGGTGGGATTGGCTTCGTCTGGCCACCTACCTATCTACTAGGATTGCCTCGTCCTGTCCTACGTCCCTATGACAGGTGCCAGACGCAGTATGCCTGCTTCGGCCTCATGCGGTAGTCGTCATCCATCTGGTCGGGAAACTGTCACGAGTCAATTGGGAGTCGATCTGTCATAATCGATGAGCACGCCTTATATCACTGGGCGGACCCCAGCTGGAAGATCGACATTAGCTTCCCCTCAGCGAATCCACCCAGCTGAAGGGAAGACCAGTTTACATTACCAGCGGACTCAGTCTATTACTAGGAAATAACCCCAGGTGGAGATGGGATTCCTGCAAGATTAAGGAGTACATGCGCAGGCGTACTCCGTAGCAGTCAATTCAACACTGCGTGCCGCGGAGTTTGTCGGTCTTCCCGCTGCATCCCCTCAACATCAACACCATTATACGGGGAACACGCGCAAAACAATCCGATTGTTCAGTATGCACAATGGCATTCACAGTGGCGGATCTGCATAATTTCTGTGCTGGTGCCTTTGCATTTCTAGACAGGAACCTGCACGGGACAGACCTCCTGCGCTGCGTTTGGGGAAACAGATTCACCATTCTAATTGAATGCCAGAAATTGAAAGCCAGAGGCAAGGCAAAGAAAAGAGCGGTGTGATCGTCTTGCCTGACAGAACTTGGGAGATTACATCTGTTGCAGCCCTCTTCACCTTGCATCTGCGGTGGATGTGTCCTGGCGGGGCGTAGCATCTCGCTTTATCTAAGGTATGGGATGAGATGAATACCGCTCAACGTGGGTCCCCTGCCGTGCGATCGCGGTCCGAGGCTGTCTACGCGAAACTCCACCAGATTGGCTGGGCGGGACGTTTTCAAGTACGGCGAACAAGTGACCGTGCTTCGGGTATTACATCCCCGTGGTCGCACATGGCATCCCGTTGTCTGGGTGTTTTACTACACGGCAGCTGTCGTGTCGTCATGCTCCATGTATTCGGACAAAGTTGTCCGGTACTTGGGACGAGTACATCCGGTCCGGACTACGGGCACGGACGACTTTGCATGCTTCATTGTACAACTCCAATCATAATGCCGGGTATGCAGAGCTTTGAACCGCCGGCACAACTCTGCACCGTGGGACCACTTATACTGGCGAGAAGATATGATTTGAAGATATGATTCGATTGTCACTAAATACCAACTGCAATAACAGCATTCCCCCACAAGCGAAATTGACAGCCAAAGTACTGCAAAGGGTTGATAACGGTCCTAATCCACACAAGTCAGCAGACTGCCATCACATGCATGGTCGAAATAAACAGTGGCAAGAGGATTGATATCAGAAGTCCGTTTAGATCATCGGAATAGACCATAAAGATCTATCCCTGACATAAGAGGTACCAGAAAAAGTGTGGTGTGTTTCATCATAAAGGCAGAACAGCACGAAGCTGGGGGAAGGTACTACTAACCTGTAGATCAAGCTGTAAGAACGGCTGTCGTTAGCCAGGAGAAAACCCTCCAATTCTAGAGCATCATTAAGCTCGTGAAGCCAATCGCGAGAAGTGCGAAAAACCACACATGTACACAGAAAAAGAAGAATCAACAACAAAACCAAAATCCGCCGCAAATAAAGAGCGGAAGAAAAGCCGAGCAGCGGGACAAGACCTAAGCGAACCGGAGCTGACCACGTGACCCACACAGAGAATCAAATCCACTGCTGACATAATATCACCCGTGCTCCACAGTCGACGTCCACCACAATATCGTCGAATTTTTTTTCGAGCTTCACTTCCGCTGTCCGACAACCACCGCCGCCGACTCTTTCCTCGTGGATAATCTCGCCAACAACACATCAAAATGGGTCGTCTTCACTCCAAGGGAAAGGGCATTTCGTCCTCCGCGCTCCCCTACTCGCGCTCTGCTCCTAGCTGGTTGAAGACCACTCCTGACCAGGTTGTCGACACCGTAAGTTTGATCCATCTCACTTAGAAGGAAAAGAGACAGGATGCTAATATACTGGGTAGATCTGCAAGCTCGCCAAGAAGGGGTATGTGGCTATTATTCTGGATGCATTGAATGAGCATCATTGGGGGAGATTGAAGATTGTGGATGAATACTGACCTGTCCAAGTGCCACCCCCTCTCAGATCGGTGTTGTCCTCCGTGACTCCCACGGAGTTGCCCAGGTCAAGACCGTCACCGGCAACAAGATCCTCCGTATCCTCAAGTCCAGCGGTATGGCACCACCATAATCACCACCACAATACGATGCGATGAGCGGGAAGGCGAGACGGGGAAATGCGATTCGGTTGCGGTTGGTTGGTTCCTGTCTGATACAGCGACGCAAGACGGTTGGGGCAGGCTTCCTTTGGTAGCAGAAGGGCCTGCACTTCCACCATCTCTTTGGTAACAGAAGAGATGTAAATCGTCTTGGGTTGACTGGACAGACTACTGAATCGCGTTTTTCCGTCTCGACTTCGTCGCTCATCCATCGATACGATGTATACTTTTGTATATCATCTTGCATGCATTGTTGGAGGTTGGGTTGAAGTGAGACTGCAGGCAGATCTCACCTCGCCCTTCCTCCACATGTATACATATTATACCCATAATATGCCTCTGCTTGGTCCAACAACAGGCTGACAGAGTGATTTTACAGGCCTTGCCCCCGAGCTTCCTGAGGATCTGTACTTCCTGATCAAGAAGGTTAGTGTTCCAATCATGAGAAGCGCAAGAAAAAAAAGCAGTTTCTAACAAGAAAAAAGGCCGTCGCCGTCCGCAAGCACCTCGAGCGCAACCGCAAGGACACCGACTCCAAGTTCCGCCTGATTCTCATCGAGTCCCGTATCCACCGTCTGTCCCGCTACTACAAGACCGTCGGTGTCCTGCCCCCCACCTGGCGCTACGAGTCCGCCACCGCCAGCACCCTGGTCGCTTAAGCGTCTCGTCTCGGGTTCCTTCTGGTTGTTGTTGGCAGATCTGCGATGTTTTCTGTCGGCTAGGTTTGCCACCCACTCCATGCATGACTCCGGTCCAAAAGGGCTTGGATTGTCCTGTTTGGTTTCTTTCGTTAGATGTGTCATCTAATGGAGGGGATTGTGGGTCTGGTCATGGATTTCAGGTAGATCTAAAAATGAATCATGGCATAATCATAATATTCCTTGCTGGGTTAGCTGTAAATGTTGTAGTTGTGTATCTATCGTATCCTTTGATTACACTTAGTACTTCTGATCAGGTGCATGATGCATCGAGATGCATCAAGACTCAAGGTGCCCTCAAAGTACAAACTTCTGGACCGTAATCCATGAGCTTTCTCAATCAGTATCAAAAGATCTATTGTTTTTTGCATCCTGCTGGCCTCCAACTTGAGGCCGGAGAACATGAACACCCAATACTTCAATACTTTAATGGACCGCAATAGTGGATTATTTACTTGCCAACGTTCACCACTTTTTTTTTATACCCATAAGCAGCTATGCTATATAATCCCTACCAACGGATAACCCAAACAATCTGCCCCAGTAATGGTAATTCCGCAACGCAGCCAGGGCACGAGCAGTCTCGATGGTTGGCGGAGAAGACTATACTAGCCTTTGCTATCACCGTGGGCAATCTCGGCCCGAGAGATCTAGCCGGACAAGAGATCAGACCCACTAAATGTTTATGGTTTCTCTATGCCTCATCTTGTATAGAAAGGGCGTATATCGACTGTCCTCTAAATCAAGTCTCTAGGTGGCATTTAGCTGATTCTAATACTCTCTAGCTCATCTTCAAGGCGGCCGTAGAGCTATAGATGCGAGGTGTAATCCTAAAAAAAATATCGCCTATCGATGACCATGCACGCATTAACTTCAGCACATCCGTCAAAGAAATGGTGATCTACCGGGTAATGGTCATCTAGAGCTATCCTAGCAGAAACGAGAGCTCGGACCGAGAATATTTACAGACCGTCCCGTTCACCGTTTCGCGGTGACCATATCTTGCGACACATCTTTTCTTTCCCAAGTTACTCCTTCCAAAGTGACAAGCCTCCCTACGGAGACAGTTTCAGAAATGCTGCTTTCAAGAGTTCCCAGACACCGTGGTTTCCACGCCGTCATACAGGGACCCTTGAATGGACTGTCCTACGCGAGCAGAAGCTCCCGACTGGCCTCTACGGCGGCAAAACCTCCAGAAAAGCCCAATGGCTCCGGCTTCAAAGTGAAGAAGATCCCATACATCGCTGGCGGCACCACCGTAGCTATCTTGGGCCTGCTGTGGACGGGACAGAGCGATAGCGATGCTTCCGAAGACCTGCGAGACAAGGAGGCCCTCTCAAGTGTTCCATTGACGAAACTCTTTTCCGGCTGGATGTGAGTGCAACCTTTCTCTTTCCCTAGTGGGCAGAATCAAAAGTACTGAGCAAACAGCTAACAAAATTTACACACAGCTCTTTCGCATTCTGCTCGTCCGCAACATGGGTCGACATGAGCGAAACACTATACACCATCTTATCCAACATGCCCCTAATCTCAAGCATAACCAATGCAGTCGTCATGAGAACCTTCTTCAATCAATTCCTCGGAGGCGAGACCGTCACCGAATGCATCCCAAAGATGGAGACCCTACGCGCGAACCAAATCGGCACTCTCCTCGGCTACAACATCGAAGCCGAGCTAGACGGCTCCAGCAAAGATATAAACCTGATCCGCGCGCAGACCGAGCACGTCCTCGCCTCCATCTCAGCCCAGGGGCGCCTAGCCCGGCGGTTCTGGCCCAACCCCGACGCCACAGGCGGCGACAACCGCTGCTGGGTGCGCATCAAGATCACGGGGCTGCTGCCCAACCCGGGTGCGCTCTACCGCGGCTCGAACGCGATCCTGGCGGCGCGCGAGGCGAGGGGTCTGGACGCCGACGTCCCATATCCGGGGCTGCCGCACGACGGGGACTGGGACGCGGCGTTGGCGGGGGAGGGCGTTACGGGCGCTGATCGAGCCGAGCTGGTCGAGTTGCGTCGGACGTTGGAGACGATTGCGACGAGGGCGCGCGAGAATAACGTGCGCGTTGTCATAGACGCCGAGCAGTCGTGGTACCAGCCTGTTATTGATAGCTTGACTGATGAGCTGATGCAGAAGTATAATAGTAATAGCATGGTGGACGGCGGCGGACCGGCTACCTGCGTTGCGTCGTTCCAGGCTTACCTCCGTCGGTATCCGCAGCTGTTGGAGCAGCAGATTGCGCGCGCTGAGGAGAAGGGGTATAAGTTACTTTTTAAGCAGGTTCGCGGTGCTTATATGGTTACGGAGGCTGCGCGGTGGGAGAGGGAGGATCGTGAGGGCGATGGCCCCGTGTGGTCGACTAAGGAGGAGACTGATGCAAGCTATAACTATGGGGTTGAAAAGACTGTCGCCACGGTGGCTGAGCAGTTGCGTCGCGATGGTCGGTCGAGAGTCTCGGTCGTCTTTGCTACGCATAATTCTATTAGTGTCAATCTTGGGATCAGGCTGCTTGAGAAGTATGGGTTGGCTGTGCGTCAGGAGGGCGACGATCGACTTTTCGTCTCGGGTGAGGTGGCGGGGAGTATTGCGTTTGCGCAGTTATATGGTAGGGCTATTTATCTATTTATCTATCATTTGCGAGATCGCGCGGCTCACTCGCTTCTCAGGAATGAAAGACGACCTCACCAATCAGATCACTGGCTCCATTGCGACGGAGGGCACATTCCCTCTGGTCGTCAAGGTAGATAGACACCTTTACGTTCTATCATGACGCTATGCTAACATGAATTGATAGTCAATGAGCTACGGAGACTTGAAGGAATGTCTACCATTCTTGGCCCGGCGAGCCACCGAGAACAAAGCCGTACTGGAAGGACGAGGCGGCGCAGCTGCTGAGAGGGAGCGACTGGGTCGTGAGATTCGTCGACGAGTTCTGCCTTTCACCGATTAGATACGAGGGGCTTTGAATACTTATAAAACATGGCTATGTTCGATATGGTTGGTGGTGCGGTGTGTATGTGGAATATGGCATATCACTTCGGGCTTTGGAGTGATACAATCTTGCCCTAATCAGTGGGTGGTGACTGCTAAGACCTGCTCGGACCCACGCACCTGGTTGTTTCACCACATGAGTTATTAATTACCTCTATCGAGGCCGCAAAATTCAGATAGCTCCAGGTTTACAACTAAAGAGAGAGATTCCAGTGATTGAACCTTTATAAACAGCTGTCATGGGATATCGTCACATGGAACACCCTATAAATGTAGCTACTTATCCACAGAGAAAGAAACCACGATCTTTCTTCCTCTTTATCCTCTTTCTACAGTTGCCTCCGCGTCGATATAAATCCAGTGTCTAGGAGAAACCTTTGAGATATGAAACAATATTGCCCTCTTGCCACTTGGGGATTTGACCCTACTCGTTACAATCTTGTTCCAGCAATATCCCAGGCCCGTCTCCTCCTACAAGCCTCACCGGATTTCCAGAACTATCTCACAGAAATTCAGACACAACCTACAAACATCTCCGCAGCTGTATGGGCTTTTACGCCACTCTTCTGTTACAGGTTCAGACGATGATCTTAAGAAGATGGACGATATAGCTGCAGTTCAACTTGCATCCCATCTAGGATGTGTCTTGCTGCTAATTTCTTTACGCGTGGCACCTCGATAAACTATACAGCAATCATTGATTGTCAGATGCAGCATTTCGTCTAACATAAGATTGCGGCTCTATTAGAGTTCAAGAAATGGAAATATGGTTGCTATCCACCGGCAGTTGAGATCCAGGAGACTTCACAAGTAATTGCATGGATTATAAAGTACTCTGATATGAGTCTCCGGTGAGTATTCTACTCATACAAATCAAAGATAGTAGCTGTTGGCTCTAGCTAATAAAAGGCCAAGGCGCACCGTAATCTCACAAGATGGGTACTGCCTCTCAGAACTGTTCCGCAACGGTAATCGACGCGAATCCCGGCCAGATACCCGTTGGGACGCACAGGAAAGACAACATCCAAAGCTAGAGACGGCGCGTTGTCTATATAAGTTTTAACATACAAGGAACGGTGATGAGGTCCCTTGGGAAACACAACATCCTGGATCAAACACTCCCAACTGGGAAGAACTTACAAGGCAGTTCAGTCACGCCTAATAATATCAAACTCTTCACTAATCTAAGGAACCTCAAACCAAGTGATCTTGAGAAGCAAGTCTTGAAGAAACTAGCTAAAAGAGGTCAAACCCACAACTATAACTAGAGAATCTATAACCAGTTAAAATGCCGATCATACCTGTAATAAATAATAGAAGCTTGAAGCAATGACCTGTATTAGAATAACTATAATATCCTATCCTTCACCAGCCTAATCAAGAATCTAGACTACTAATTAAAGATAATAAGAGTTCAAAGTAAAGATCCTAGACACTATTCATTCTACTATCTTTATATCAAATGCTCTTATTAATAAGGAATAGCTCCCAGCAAGCAGCCGACTATTCTACTAACAGGGCTTAGATGCTATAGTTGAGCAAGACCACAGAGCTATTCTGGAAGAACCTCAGCATGACTATAAGTGCGATAAGTACTCTACCCTCACTCAGCTTTTATGAACTATTTATTACTCTCACTTATCTCTTGAGAAAGATTAGTAAGTTCTCTGACCATTGACTTAACTATAAGTCTATTGATTATATGATTGTTAATATCTTCAGCTAAGACCAAAGTTGAAAAACGCGAGTAAGCTTGTGTTTTTTCATCCTTATTTGACCGAGTTTCCATCCTTGTACCTATGCACCGTCTCTCTACAGCTACTTTGGCCATCGGCCACATACCATCATTCAAAAGCAACTCCAACAAGCAGATATGAGATAAGTATACCTGCGGAGTTTCGTCCGTTCTCCACAGGGGTATCTGCGGGGTATCGATTCAAATTACACCGGGCCGAGTAGATGCGGATATCGGACAAAACAACATCACTCTCGGACCGGAAGTGGGAACTAAAGCGTCTCATCCGTGACATGAGATATATACTCACCGAGCAGGCCCTGAGCGTCCTCACCAAATACGTATCACTACATAGATATCAATTTGACAGTCACAATGCTAACCACACAATACCCAGAACCAGTCAACGCCGATGGGGTTCGTATCTTCAGAGCTATCGTTGACAGTCCATATACTAACGCAATCTCAGCTCTCATATGCACCCGACTCAGAGGAGCGACGGCTCTTGGAAGCCGCCCTCGCAGAAATGGAAAGCACCGTCGCCCAAGTCCCCAGCATCATCAACGGCGAGCGCCTCTACACCGGCCACAAGAGCCAGCAAGTCAACCCCTGGAACCCACATGGGGCTCCCCTGGCTGAATACCACCAAGTCGACTCGTCGACCGTCCAAACCCGCGCAATTCCCGGCGTCCTGGACGCGCGAAAACGATGGGCCAACATGTCATTTAAGCACCGCGCAGCCGTCTACAAACGCGCCGCCCACCTCGTCGAGTCCCCCAAGTACCGCTGGAAGCTGATGGCCGCGACCATGATCGGACAAGGCAAGACCTGCGGCCAAGCCGAAGGCGACTGCATCACCGAGGTGCTCGACACACTCAACTTCCACGTCTACTTCTGCGCCCAACTCTACCAGCAGCAGCCACCGAAGCAATTCAACTCGTCCACAAGCCATCTCGACTACCGGCCCCTGGAGGGCTTCCTGCTCGCGATATCGCCCTTCAACTTCACCGCGCTAGGCGCCCACATCGCCTTCACACCCGCCCTCCTCGGCAACGTCGTCCTGTGGAAACCGTCCCCCATGGCCGTCCTCTCCAACTACATCCTCTACCAGATCATGGAGGAAGCCGGCCTCCCCAGCGGCGTCATCCAGTTTCTACCCGTCGCGGACCCTACCCACGTCGTTGAACCCGCCCTCTCCAGCCGCGACTTCGCCGGCCTCCACTACACAGGCTCGTCAACGGTGCTGCGGACGCTCGCCGCCCAGATCGGCGCCGGCACTCCCTCCTACCGCACCTTTCCGCGCATCGTCGGCGAAAGCGGCGGCAAGAACTTTCACCTTGTGCACCGCTCCTGCCGAGACGACGTTGACTGGATCGCGTCCGCCGCCGTGCGCTCCGCCTTCGAGTTCCAGGGCCAAAAGTGCAGCGCGCTGTCGCGGTTGTTCGTGCCGCGGTCGATGTGGGAGGCGCCGGGCGACGGCGGCAGTAGCAGCGATCTGCGCAGAGCGCTGATCCGCGAGGCGGAGAAGATGACGCACGGCGAGGATGTCAAGCAGCTGCATCATGCGCTGGGTCCGCTCGTGTCGCAGGCGTCGTTCGACCGATTTAGGGAGTTTGTGCGGCGTGCGCAGCTCGACGGTCACCGGCTGGTGTATGGGGGACTGGTGGCGGACGACGGCGCGAAGGGATTCTTCGTGCAGCCGGCGATTTTCGAAACGAGCAGTGACCCCGCGGAGAAGGAGAGGGTTTTGGAGTCGGAGCTCATGAATCGCGAGTTGTTCGGTCCTCTGTTTGCGGTGTATATCTATGAAGATGGGACGGCGATGGGCTTCGAAGATGTTTGTGACCTGATTGATCGGACGACGGAGTATGGGCTGGCGGGGTCGGTCTTTGCGCGGGACCGGGAGGCTGTGCGGATTGCGGACGAGAAGTTGAGAGACTCGGTGGGCAACTTTTGCATTAATGATAAGAGCACAGGAGCTGTTATTGGGGCGCATCCGTTCGGAGGCGCCCGGTCGAGTGGCACGAATGATAAGGCGAATTCGACAAATGTGTTGCTGCGGTTTTCGAGTATTCGCTGCGTGAAGGACTCGTTTGTCAGTGGCGGGGAGACTCTGGGGGTGTGTCATGTTCCGGAGTGATCTATGGGATGAGATTCTAGGACATATAATATACTGAGAATATACTGAGAATATACTGAGTTAAGTTTATGGAATTGTTCAATAGCTACCCAGGTAGTGTGTACGGTCGTTATATTGGAGGTCAGATGACTTCTCTTGCCCTTACCAGTCACTCTACAGCTGCTTCAACATCAGCCACATATTATTACTAAAAAGCAGCCTCAAGTTCCCATTTCTCAACAAACAGGAAGAGATGAGAGAAGTATACTTGTGGAGGTCCGTCTGTGTTCCGCAAGAGATACCTGGGTTACTGACTGAAAATTGCTCCGGCCCGAGTAGTTGTGGGTACTCGACATACAATATCACTCTCGGTCCGGTGGGAATTGAAGCATCTTGGGCGGGGTGATACAATGAATAACGAGATATATAGAAGCCAACGGCTGCCATAGTTCAGAACAATCACTCGGATTACAAGTTCATATCTATAAACATGGGAATCAACATCGCCATCATCGGCTGCGGTAAAGCCACCACACCCATCATCACCAGAAGAACCACTAACATAAAACGTTAAACGCACAGGAACCTTAGGAACGGCCCTCGCAGCCGGAATCCTCAACCCGCACAGTCCCTCTCCCCTCCCCATCGACCAGCTCACTGCAACAGTCGGGACGGATACCTCAAAACGCCGCGTACAAGACGCCCTCTCGCCGCACGCCGCAAAAGTGCAAGTCCTCACCCAAGAAGACAACGCACGAGCCGTGCACCAAGCTGACGTCGTCCTCATCGCCGTCAAGCCCTTCAAACGAGCGGGCGTCTTCGCCGCCCCAGGCTTCAAGGACGCCCTACGCGGGAAACTCCTCCTCAGCATCATGGCGGGTATCACGACGACGGAGCTGAGCCGGCTCGCCCACCACAGCGAAGCAGCCACCGAGCAGTCCACCTTCCAAGCGGTGCGTGCCATGCCCAATATGGCGGCGAAAATCCGCGAGGCGGTGACGCTGTATGCTGCGACAGATGGTATCACGCGGGAGAATCTGGAGTTTGCGTCGTGGGTTTATGGCCAGGTGGGCGAGGCGCATTGCATTCCCGAGGGTTCGTTTGATATTTGTGCGGTTTTGGTGGGGTGTGCGGGTTCGTTGCTGCTGTTGGCGATTGATGGGTTGCTGGATGCGGCTGTTGCAGAGGGAGTGAGGAGGCCTGAGGTGCAGGATTTGGTAGTCAATAGTGCGATTGGGATGATGAGGCTGGTTCCTGTTGGGGGTGAACATCCTAGTGTGCTGCGTGAGAAGATAGCTTCCCCTGGAGGATGCTCGATCAGGGCTTTGTTGGAGCTGGAACGGTTGGGGGTGAGGTCGGCGTTTACGACGGCGATTATGGCTGCGGCGGAGAAGTCGAAGAAGATGTCGTCGTCTTGATTCTAGTTTAGACTGCATGGTGAAGATTTTAGCTGCTGAACACTTGTAAAGAAATCTCGGCAATGCTCGGAGTGACATCCGATCTTGTATGAAACGGTCTTATAATGGGCTGTACCCCGTCTTTCTCCGGTACACTTTTGCGATATCTCGTCCATATCTTCATATCACAATGACACTCGCTCAACCCGTTCATCTCGCCTTCCTAGGATGCGGTAGGTAAAGTACTATCAATCATATCTTGGCAAGACAACTGATGAATCTCAGGCCACATCGGCACTGCCCTCCTCCAAGCCCTCATCCCATCCATCTCCCACTCCCAGAGCCCAATCTTCAAGATCACCGTCTCTCTCAACCGACCAGAATCCCAAGCACACCTCCACAACCAATTCTGCAGCAACAACACCACAAGCCCCATTACCTTCCTCCTCCGTCAAAACACCACAGCCGTCCAGCATGCAGACGCCGTCCTCTTCGCCTTCCCACCATCCCAACTCCCCACCGTTCTCAAATCACCGCACATCAAAGAAGCCCTCCACCACAAACCCATCATCAGCATCCTCGCCAGAACTCCCCTCACCACCATCCACTCCCTGATCCACGATCCCCAAAACTCAGTCCCAAACCCCAAACTCCAGATCGTCCGCGCCATGCCCACCATCAGCGCAGGAGTCCACGAGTCTGCGACCATCATCGCAGACCCCCCGGAAGGCCACCCGACCACAGAACAAGCCACCAACCTCGCCACACAGATCTTCGCTACCGTCGGTAAAGTCTTCCGCATCCCGGACGCATCCTTCGACACCACGACGGGGGTCAGTGCGTTTTCGAACGCCCTTGTCACCGTCGCGGTCCGGGAGATTGCCCGTGCGGCCATCGCCGAAGGCGTGTCTCCGGAGCATGCGGTGGCGGTGAGCGCCCAGTGTATCCGTGGGGTGGGGACGCTGTTGCGGGAGGGGCTTACCCCGGAGGAGTTGCGACATTCGCTGTCTGCCCCGGGAAGTATTACTGGGCTAGCGGTGAAAGGTCTGGTGGATGGTCGGTTTGAGGCGCTGTTGGAGCCTGTGTTGGCTGCGGCGGTGAAGCGAGCTCGAGAGTATTCTACATGATTATAAACTCTTATTTTTTTTTCTTTCTTTCATTTTGGGCTATTCGTGCTTATATGATCTTGATGTTAGAGTGAATCAGCAACTAGTCGTATCCAATGCACGCTGGCTTCAGCAGCTTGTGTCGACACATTTGGAAGGAGTACAAGAAGGAAATTCATTGAGTGTATCCATGATGGTTGGCCTGGTATTGATCTCGGCCCGAGTGGTGTACATGGAGCACATCGGATCAACCACCCGTAGCCTACTTACTCTGCATCTCCCAACCCTAACCGATCACCTCGAAATCACCCTAGCAGATCAAAACAATTCAGAGTAAACAACTAAATCTTCGACCTCGCCGCAACCCCGCTCCCCATCCACGTCTTACAAAGCCCCACCGACGAGCTCCCCCAAACCGGATCCAACCGCGGCTTCGGCACCGCCCACACGGTCTCAAACACCCCCCCAGCAGCCAGAAAGTCCCAATCACCCCCGCAATACGCCCCCATCATAGTGAACCCATCCAGTTGGACCTCTCCAAGCGCCGCCTGGGGGTCCTCGGCCTCAATGCCATGCCCCGTCCCCGGCGACAGTAGGGCGAAGTCAGCGGCTGGGCGCGTGTGGTGCGTCTTGTGCGCCACCCCCGCGGGGATGACAAACACGTCGCCCGCTTCGGCGTCTAGCTCGACGCCGCCGGCTTCGTGGGCGGTGCCCTCGGTATTGGCTTCCATGTCGGGCGAGGTGTCCGCGACGCCGAAGCGGATGCGCGCTGTGCCGGAGAGGACGGCCATGCATTCGTGCGCTTGTGAGTGGTAGTGTGAGACTTGTGTGTGGCTGTAGCGGAAGATCCAGTGGACGGACCATTTGTTGCTGGTGAAGAGCTTCCATGTGTCGGCTGGGGAGCACTGCTTTGTGATGGGGTGTCGGGGAAGGACGTTCTTGTAGTGGAGGAGGGGGCGGGGAGAGTTCGGGATGAGGTCTGTTGGGGTGAGGTGGTATTGGTGGATTTCAATCATGATTGTTGTTATTGTTGGTGTGGTAGCTTGGTCTATGGGTGATAGGGATGAATGTATTTGATGTCTGTATGGTTATTGGAGTGTTGATATACTTCTGGGTATAGAGTCGGTGGAATATCCCGATGATGACGAACGGATCGGGGTTCTTATCCGCGCTGGCTCGGAGTGGAATCCGGATGGAATGCGGGGTTTCGATCTCTCGCTATCAGTGCTACATCAGAGACAGTTACGGTCTACCTGTCTGACCTTGCAAGATAGACGGAAGACCGACTTTAACCACATACGAAGTGCTATTATCTTATCTTGGACTACAGCACAGAAGGACTTGTTACTCACAAGGAATGATAATGATACAAATCAGGAATAGTTTAATCCAAAGTGAATTTCAAGCTCTTAATTATCCAGCCACGCCTATACACAACGCGCACCATCAACCAAAATCTCCACCCCACTAATGATCGAGCTCGCCGGCTCAGCCAAAAACAGAGCAACGTTGGCGACATCTGACGGCTCCACCAAACGGCCGATCGGGATCGCCTCACACTTGGCCTTGATGATCTCCGCCGGGACAGGCCCATCGCCAATCCCAGCAAACTTGTTTAGCAGCGGCGTGTTTCCCGAAGTCGGACAGATCGTGTTGAAGCGCAGCTGGTCCCGGGCGAACTCCAGCGCCATGGACTTGGTCGCCGAGGAGACCCCCGCCTTGGTGGCGTTGTACCAGGTTTGGGTCGCCCCGGGTCGGATGGCATTCTCACTAGAGATGACCACCGTTGAGCCGGGGCCATTCTTCTTCATCTCAGGAATGAGGACCCTGGACGCCAGATAGATGCTGCGGACGTTGACGTTGAAGAGACGGTCGAATTCGTCCACCGTCACGTCGAGACCGGATTTATTAGGGTACGACCATCCGGCATTGTGTACAACAATCGAGGGCGCATGTCCGAATCGTGCGATGGATGTCGAGAGCTGAAAGTCATGGGAGATGGCATTGGGTTAGCAAGAACTTGGCAATAGTATTGCTGGACTGGTGATTCCCTACTGCCTTTTTCCAGCTCTCTTCCTCGGCCACGTTGGCCTTGATCTGGTAGGCCTGATGCTCAGGATACCCGTCGACTGGACCGTCGACAGCCTGCAAGTCCATGCCCAGCACGACTGCCCCCTCTCGTACAAAGGTCTCCAGGATCCCACGTCCGAACCCTTGCGTCGAACCGGAGATGAGGGCAATCTTTCCTTCGAGACGGCCTGGCATTATGGGGGACTGATATAATTGAAAAGCACCGGAGAAAATAAGAATCAATTGGAGATCTGCCTTGAAGCATCTAGTATAACCAACCCAACACTTCCGAGACTACATCCTTATATCTGTCCATCGGACGTGTGAGCGAGAGAATGGAGGAGATATAGTAGATCGGCCCGAGATCCAGGCGGGGAAATCGGATGGCGAGCCCGGGATGCAGATGAGGATTAGCTTATCGTCTTACCACATGTGCCTTTTATCTATCCATCGACTGGGCTTCTCTCGGCCCGTGCATCATTCTCGCCAACAATCAATCTGTCAACGTCAACCAGGACAGAACGATCAATGGCGCCATCCACTGCTACCCCGACCGACTTGCATCGGGCACCCATGTGAGTCGTCATATAGTATTGTTATTGGACAATCTTTCCATGTCGGGTCTAAGATCTGCGCTGATATGACGTTTCAGTGCCTGTCTGCCCTGCCGCAAAGCAAAAGTCCGCTGTCTGCTTTCACAACGACGCGACCGATGCGATCGATGCATCGCCAACGATGCCGACTGTCTATTCACGCAGACAAAGAGGACCAGGGTGCGCTCGCAGCCGTACCCTCAGCGCGCCAGGCGCCGCGCCCACGACCGACGATCGGTCGGCGGAAGCTCTACTGAGACCCCGACGACGCCGTCACGACGAGTCTGGAATGATACCCATCGGCCGGCGACCAGCCCAAGAGCTAGTCCGGTCACTGAGCCTATATATGGGGGCCATTCGGTCGCTTATGACGATCAGCCGCGGTCCCAGCCCAACCAGCCAACTATAATCAATGAAGTGCGCGCAAGGATCATCGCGGCGTTGGCCACTCTCAAGGGCAAAAAGGGAGCGCCATTTAGCTTCGTGACATCGGGAGACAGTCCCTCGTTTGGTGCGAGCCAGGGCTCCCAATCGGCGGAACAGCCCCAGACGACTCCCGTCTCACTGAAGCTGTCCTGGCTTCTGCGTCCTTTGTACACGGGTGCTCTTCGCGAAGACGGGGAGGACCGGCGACTTCCGGGGTGGGTGAAGATGCCCACCTATCTTTCGTCCATGACGCTGGGTCAGACCATCACGGATCCGGTGGAAGGGGGTATGGTGAATTCCCAAGCGTCCAGGGCTCTGTTCGATCACTTCATGGTGCAGATGAACGCCAAGTGGGAATACATTCTCGACCCTCATGTCGACAGTCACGATAGCGTCCAGCGACGGAGCTCCTTGCTGTTTACTTCCATCCTGTTCTGCTCCTCCAAGTTCGCCAACTACGTAGACGGACATCTGGTCGCGGGGACAGACCCTTACCTGCAGAGCCGGCTTTGTAGCTTGGCCCGCAATCTCGTCATCCGGAACCTGGCGCAGGGTGACAGATCTATCGAGACGATGCAAGCTCTCTACTTGCTGGTCTGCTGGAAGGATCCCGACGACGATGTCTCCTACCTCCACAGTGGCTACGCGTTCGGCGTTCTCCGCGACGTGGACTTGGAATCGGGCGACGGCGACGCACGGCAGGTCGCGAGACGCAGGAGGACATGGCTGGCGCTGTTCCGCCAAGACAGACAACAGAGCCTGTTCTTTGTGCGAAGGGCTCCACTCAGCCACGGAGACGAAGCGGTTTCTTTCCTTGCAGACCCTGAAACCTGGTTGAAGATGCCGTACGCTCTGCCCTGTGACTTTCTAGCCTGTTGTAGTGCAGACTCGAGGCGCATCCAGTCCCGCCTGCGGACGTTAGTCCAGAAGGCCTCGTCTGCCATGCTTCCATGTCTCTTAGATCTTATGGACGCGGAACTGAGCACATGGCGATCAAAGTGGAAGAACCACCTCCAGCGAAGGGACGGATGGCATGCGGACAATGCGCGACCCATGAACCTCCAACTGGAACATCCGGGGGCAGACCATGTCGCCACGCTGGTAGATCTGTGGGAGCACAGTATCCGGCTAAACGTCGCCTCCGCCATCCTTCGACAGGCCCTCCTGGCCTCGGTGACCTCGTCCCTGCACGCCAGCCACCGCCAACCGGCCACAAGCGCAGTGGACCTTGATCTGTCAACGATCCAACAAGGGCTGTCTCCAAGTCTCCCCGGTCTCTCCAGCAGCATCACCGGCGCCTTCGGGACCCTACACAACCTGATCAGATTTTCGCCCGACGACCTCCGCCGAGCCCCCGACGCTCTGCTCCTCCTAGCGCCCAACGCAGCCCTCTTCCTCTGTCTGCTCCTGTGCCTTCCCCCAACCGGCATCCTCGGCCCAGCCTTCCAAAAAACGGCAGTCAGCCTCATCCGAGACACAGCCCAGCACATCCGGCAATGCGTGCGATGCCCGCAGGATACCGTCACCTTACACGCCGCATATCTGGACTCCCTCGTGGAGCTCCTCGACCCATCCACCGCACAGCACGCCGCGGAGCAGCAAGATCCCAGACCACAGCCTACATGCGACCCATCACAGCTGCAGAACGTCGACGACTCGACCTTGCAAGCTGCCCAGGTTCTAGCTGATGGCATTGGCAGCCACGACTATAGCGTGCCCCAAACTGACTCGTTGCTCCGGTTTTCGGCCGATCCCAGCCAAACACTGCATATGCAGGGCCTGGCGAACTTGCTGGACGGAGATCTCTTCTGGGATTTGCTACCTGGGGCAGAAGACGCACCGATTGGTCTGTAGTCTACGTGTTTAGCGCTGCGATATTCTCTTGCGGTGCCTCCCTTACGCTATTCTCCTCCTACGACTCTCGCTATCCTGCTTCGATGGCAAATCGAAGAAACTTCTGCTGCATATCCTATCTTGAAATGCAATGAATACACAGCGGCTTACATCAGCCTATGAATTGTCGGCACACGAGAACACCCCCGACACCGTCCCTTCGTCGTATGATTCCTGGATCACCAGGATCGTCGCATAAGTTCCTCCTACGATAATCAGAAGTCCCGTGAGGATCATGAGACACGCGACAACCAGTGCCAAGGTCTGCTTCCACCCTTTCTGACACGACCGGAAAGCCTTGGGCAGCCACTGTCTGGGTGAAACAAACTCCTCCACGCCGCCCGCATACGCAATGCCCTCATCCTCCCGGCGCGGATTCTCCGCCAGAAAGTAGAGGATCATAGAACCGGGCAGCAGATTCGTAAAGACAGGGTTCACAAGCGCGCCCACCAGGCTCAGAAAGTTGTCGAAAAACGGCACCACTCCCACGACGACGAACCCAAACACCACCGTCACCAGCATCGACCCGGCCCAGACGGACCAGTGCGTGAAAGTACTCGACTGGAGGTGTCGCGTGCCGCGCAGGATCCGAACAAACCAGTACTTCGCCGCGATGTGGCACCACAGCACGGCCGTCACCAACAGGCCCGGGAACGCCACCCCGTACGATATCTTCTTGATCAGAGGGCCCGCGGATCCCAGCGCCGGACTCGCGAGGTACTGCCCGACCTTTCCATAGATGATAGACGAGATGGCGAGGTTGGTGACGATGATGAACGACTGCCCGCACACCAGCGACCGCGTGAACAGCTCAGGCTTCTCCATCTCCGCCGCCACAGAGAAGAACGTCCCCGACGCGCCCAGCGCAAACAGCTGGCTCGAGACGGCCGCCATCGCCTGCGGGAAAGTCGCCCTTGGCCAGACCCGAATATCAAGGTCGATGGGGCCAGCACTCGCCGGCGGCGCCGCCACCGGGCGCTCCCCGCCCGCAAGACACCCGATGGCAGCAATCCAAATGGCCACGACAATCCCCGCGACGCCAACCCAGCTTATCCACGCGACCTTCTCCAGCGAGCGGAACGCCGTGCCGACGACGAACGCCGCGGCACAAGCAACCGCCACAAAGACCATCGAGCAAGCGCCGTGGTCCGACAGCGCGTTCAGCGCCACCGACGTCGTCAGCATGCCCGCGCCGGCCACCAGCGCTAGATACACATAGTACAAGATGCCGACGAGCTCGCGGGCGGTCGTCCCGAAGAGCAGCTCCGCCGCGTCGCCGATGCTGTGCATGTGGGGGTAGTAGCGCCGTGCGTTGCCGCACAGGTACCCGGCGCTGGTCGTGATGGCTGCTAGCACGAGGAAGCACAGCACGCCTGGGACGAAGCCCAGCGTGTGGAAGGTGGACGGCAGGCTCAGCGCGCCGAGCCCGATTTGGAACTTCGCGATCAGGATCCCTGCTCCCTGCCAGGTGACGCTGCGGAAGTTGATGTCGCTGTCGTTGCGGGCGTGGCTGAAGAGGTCGGGTGAGTCTTCCACGGTGCCTTTCTTGTGGGGCTGTCCTAGGTCTTGGTCATCGTCGGAGTCGATGTCGTGCTTGGTTGTCTTGTCTTTTTGGGCTGCGTCTCGCTTCATTGAGTACATGGTGAATAGTGGTAATTACTAGTAAACAGACAAGGCTGAAACGGGTGTATCAACTATCCAGAAGACGAGGTACGTATGTAACATCTAACGGCGTCGTAAAAACAGGACCAAAAGTAATCGTAATCGAAGCAACGACAACAGAATGGATTGTGGATACTTCCCATTGAGTGCTATATAAGGAAACCCTCCAAGATCCGGGGAAACGCCCTAACCACCACAATAACGCACGGCTGTTCGTTATCAGCGCGCTTCCTTCCCACCCACTTGTCTCCAATTCTAACGAAAGGGGGGTGAGGGGCGGGGACGAGCGCTCCATAGTGGCAATGGTAGACATTTCTCGGCCCGAGCAGAACGCGAATTATCGCGCGAGTGTCCAATAGAGACTACAATTCGCTGGCTGAGGAGCGAGTTAGCTGGCTACTTGTGGCTATCTTGTAGTCGCTAGGTAATGGCGCCAAGTGTGGGGAAGATAGATAGATAAGTCGGTCGATAGTGTGCGAGTGAGGTTGTGGGTGGCTGCTATAGACGGTGGGTGGATCCACGGTCCTCTGCCGGACCGAGTGTCTGTTGTGTTGAGATAGGGAATTCTAGTCCTCGTTCTAGACTTTATCATAGAGATTTCCAGGTGTGTTATCTTGTGTAGTGTAGGTAGGATGTCACTCGCCTTACGTTGTGGAATCTACTCTTGGCTTACTTGTAGAGAAGTGAGGGAGTTGCTTCAAATAATGCAGAAGTCTAGAAATCTAAACATGAACGCCTCTATATAGTTTACTCTGTGCTTAAATACTATTTGAACAAACAGGTGGTATCTACCAGATCACCCGCACCTCCTTCGCAACAGCATTACAGAGCTCAACGTCTACCCCCGCCCCCGTCAGCACATGAATCCACAACCGCTGCGTATCACTCAACCGGTCATTCTCCGACTTGACCTCCGCAAACATCACCTGCCCGGTGTCCACCCGCCAGAGGAACAGATCGGGGATGCCGCCTCCGCGCTGCTGGTACTCCTGCGCCATGACCTTGCAGACTGCCGCTAGAGCCTCGCCGCGGAAGCAGCGCGCGATCTCGACGAGGTCGTCGAGCTCAAAGGACCAGTCGAGCCCGATGGCGCAAGGCTGGCTGGGCGCGTGAGCGGCATGGACGGCGCGGATGAGGCGCTCGGCTGCGCCGTTGGCTATTTCGACGAGCCGGTGATTGATCTCGGAGGCGCGGGTGGGGTAGAAGGCGTCCGTGTGCAGATCTAGCGGGCAGGTCTGGAAGGGTGTTTGGAACACGTTGGGGACGTAGGTGAAAAGGATGTCGTAGAAGAGGTAACTAAACTGTAATTTTCATGACGGGTTAGGAAGGACGCAGGGGCCAAAAGAGGAAGGCGCGATGCTTACGAGTGTTCGGACAATTCCTCCTTCGGAGTGGTATCCCTTCCAGCCCTGGTCTTGGTACCAGCTTAGACACATCTCCTCGACTCTGCATTCGCCGTTGCCTTCTCGCTCATCGAGCCAAACCGTTGGACGTCCTCGTCTAGATGTAACCTCGTTGATGGCTGCAGCTCCGGAGGGATCCTCCCGCTCGATCCGAATGCCTTCGACGGTCCGTTCTATCGGTTTGGAGAGCATGACATGCCCAAAGTCGTGTTGCTCGCGTTTCACTACCTTGAGAGCTCGTTCGAGCTTTGTGATCCGTTTCTGCAGATCATAGTGGTATATAAGGTGGCAGTATGGGTCTTCGAGACCGGTTTCACATGTCTGCAGAGCAATGCGTCTCCAATGTTTTCGTTGATTGTCCTCGCTACGTTCGTCGAATGCGCTCAAAGCCCACAAGTAGTGTTCCTCCAGAAGCGCCTTGCGCTGATACCATGCTCCGCGCCGCGCGGCGTGAAACAAGCGCTGACCCAATAGCTCGCAAAGAAGCCTATACTCCTCCTTGTAGTCCTTGAACCGTCCCAGCGGCAGGAGGCCTTTGTGGATGATCCGTGTGTACACCCACGCCGGAGAAAAGCGGCGCAGGTACGCGCCTTCCCCGTACTCATATATTGTCTCTTCCTTGCGTTTTTCCTGTTCGAGTAGTGCTTTCCATCGAGGATACACATCGTAGGCTATGGCTCGAATCTGCTCCAGGAGCTCAGTAGTGGGGGTCCCGTTGAATTCAAGCATGTTGTCTATACGGTACTGTGTCCGTAATGCCGACTCAAACTCGAGCAAAAAGTCCCGCGAGGGAAATATCGAGTTCGCGCGGCAGACTACATACTCGGGGAAGTTCCTCCGAGAGATCTTAGCCAGGATTATAGTGGTGAGTGATTTTTCGGTCCACTCTGTCGACCTATAAAAGACCAGGTGCACCCGTTCGAAAAGGGCACGGGGACCTGCCGCAAGCCTTATACAATCCCCAGTGTAATCAAGAATTCTTTGGACGAAGTGACTGTCTCTATTGGTGGCAGTCGAATCTTTTGTCCAGTCCAAACCTGTTTGTTCTTGGCTTCCGCGACGCAGAGCAGCCAACAGCTCTTTTTTGCTCTTTCCTTGGACTTTGGCATCTTTTGCGAAAGCCTTCAATTCTTCGAGCAGTAGCAAGGACGAAGCTGCCTCCAAGGTATGAATGTCGGATGTATCGTCTGCAAATCGGAACTCGCCGCGTAGCTCCTCTAAGCCGTACGCAGGCATCAAAGTGGCCCCGTTCTCACTGGCCCCATTCTCACTAGGCGAATTCGTCGAAGGGAGTCCGTGCCACAATCGGAGATCTTCAACAGCGCTAGACATGTCTGTGATATCCGAATAATATCCCAAGCGGTTGACACGATGCCATGCAGACGTCTTGCGAAGAAAGAGTCGCACATATCTAATTCATCAGCGACTCCACTGATTGCGGTCGATTTACATTTGAGGAAACCTACAGATACTGGGCCTCATATGAGAGGTCTTTCCATCGCCTGAAAACCTCCAATTCAGGCTCGCTGAATAGATGCGCCTCTTCGTCCAGCACCGTCTCCAGCGCTAAATTGAATGCGTCAACATATATCGAGCTTCTTCCCTTTCTCCAACCCCCGTTTTGCAGTCTTCCATGCAAGTCAGGTTCTGAACCATCCTCCTGCTGCTGAGAAGACTCGTATTCCTCAATTGCCTCAATATCTGTCTTTATAGCGGGGAGGGAAGACTCCAGCTCTGTCTGACTGTTAGACGGGGCATCTGCCGTCTCCAATTGCACGTCGAGCTGATGTATATCCGGTGTGTCCATCCCCGGGCTTTCAATATTATTCAATTCCTTTCCCTCAGTAGGAGTATTGTCTTTTCGATGGGAGGGGCGTTCCTGATCTTCATCCGTGGCGACTTTCCTGCGCTTGACAGAGGGACGCTGGGTGTCCCAGTAGTCCAACAGGGACATGCTGCAGCTAAGCGATTCATGGAGAAGTATACAAATCTAGCAGCAGCATCCAGAATCAATCTTCTGGGAGTAGGCAACAGCGTCAATCAAGCAGATCTCGAGACGACCAAAAATTCACGTTCTCACGTGTTGCGGCGACACGAAGTCAGCTGATATGGATTAGTCACGAAGTCATACTTTCCTAACTGGGAAAGAGGCATCAAACCACTGCTCTTGCGTTGTGCAATTCATACAGATCGCTGGTATTTACATGCTCTTGTCATATACATTCTTGAACACTCACTCCACGATCTGCAATTGATCATTGCATGAAAAGTGGCGACACTTGAGGCCGAATTCGGAAAGGGAGACCTCAGCAAGGTCGAATCAATACAGTTGCAGGTACCTTAGAGCGCTCGAACAGGATCTCCTTGTCAGTGGACATCACAGGTGAATTTAAATATTAGTTTGATCAAATCGGGGTCAAACCAATCACAAAACATGGTCAATGTCAGTAAGAAACGACCCTTAATTTCTCAAATTCCATACGATCGATCGATCCCCACAAGAGTGGAGCTGGAGGAGCCCTTCTCCCGCGGCGAGGAGCAAAGCTCCGCCGCCCGCCATTCCTATCAAGAGGACTGTGCCTTTCCCTCGCCACCTCTTCCTTTTACCTCACGCAAATATATGTCGGTCTCATCGGTCATTGTTCTCTAGTCTCCGATCCCGAATTCCATCAAAGACGCTCCGTCCTCCCACCTACCTTCTACGACCGCCGCAGCAGCAAATATATCGGCGCCCACCGTCGACAGGACATCTATCCCCTCAAACCCAGTCCACAAAGACACGGCAAATACTTTCGCAATGGGCACCGCATCCACCCCTAACAGTGCCGCTGCGAACACCCCCACTGCCGAACCTAGCGGCTCCGCACCAACGAACTCGAACCAGGTCCGTCCTGGCGGCGCCCCAGCGCGGGTGTACATGAACGAGAAGATCGTGCCATACTTGCTAGAGGGGATGAAGGGTATTGCAAAGGACCAGTACGTATTGCTCCTCCCTTAATTCTTCCGGTGAAAGAGGTGGGGATGGTCAAGATAAACATACGATCCAGCCCGGGGAGAAACCACCTCCTTCCCTTTCATTCCTGTTGACTCTTCATAATAAAATCTAACAATCTACCCAATCTAGACCTGCGAACCCTCTCCGTGCCCTCGGCGAATTCCTCATCCAGAAGAGCAACGACGTCGAAGGTCACCCGCCGTCATCCGCAGACCAGTAACAGACGCACATAAACGCGCCGGGAAACGAAGCAAATTCATCAAGAAAACCAACAAACGCTCGAGGAGAATCAGGATCTTACACTGTGCTTGAGGCTTGAGAGGCGCATTAACTCCTCCGCTACCCTTCTTTCTCTTTGCAGTCTGGTCCTGGCCCCATCTGGACATACGATTCAACCATCTATGTTGCCGGTGTGAGACGGATAATACTAGACGAGACGGGCTACCACAGTTCCTGGTACCATGCGCGTGCAATTTGTCTCGAGGAAATAGCTACCGAGAAATATGCACGCGCTTTCCGTACAAAGCGAGTAGGGCGCGCCTTCCTATAAAACCACGCGGGATTAGTTAACTCGCTCGCTCGCTCTTTCCTCTTTCTCTACATCTCACATAAATCTCACAGTACCTCAACATTGGTAAATAGAGTCGATTTGGTTGATATTAGCTTGTACTTAGGTACTGTCTATTTATCACTTCACTAGATACGTGCACTATGACAAGATCAAGAGCTGGTTGGGCGAAGTACTTTATCTCAGGTGGTAATTACTCTTCATAATTTGATATCCAATATATTAAGACCTAAACTTGAATACCTGTACTTCATATAGTAACAATCTTAATCATAGAATAATAAGAACATACCAGCTCCAACCCTTAATCCATCCATCAATCCAAGGTCTAGCATCGATTCGTCTAGATATCCGTCCATCTCAATCACAAACACAACACAAGGATAATTGCTATTTATTGGGAATATCTTACCCAGTAGATAAACAGACATCCAACGAGGCGAACTCCGATTGCCACCGCATTGCGCTGATGCAATACGCAGTATACATTCAAGTTCTCCCACCTATCTTCTCACACTACTTTCGCCTTATACATACAAATATATATATATACATAGAGAGGAAATAGAAACCCACCCCATTCGCTGCCCTCCCCCAAGCAAACAACCTCATAGGTGCGAGCCAGTTCTGACCGCATCCATTCCATCCATGTAGAGCCAATAGATGGAAGCTTGGTCATGTTCGTTCAAAGAATTACTGTTACACTGTATTACTACAGAATCCATGGATGGACTACCCGGCTCTTTTTCTCCCCACCCAATAGATAACTGATTATGCATATGCAAAGATACGAAAGGAGGTACTTTAGGCAAACAAGAAGATTGAAATTTTATTAGAACTTGGGAAAGTGAGTGAGTGAGTGAGTGAGTGGTAGAATCTGTTCTTGTTAGTACCTACTAAGCTAATACATAAAGTTGCCGGAGTCAACGGCTCATAGTTTGTAATGGCAGCAAAACAAAGTCAAGACGATGGTAACTCCATCTGGATATTCGACCAATGGCAGTTTCGCCACGTAGCACACCTGTCAAGGTAAATATCTCGATTGGAGGGTACTCACCTTTTTTTTTCATGTGCGGAATGCTGCAAGCCAAGACTGGGACAGGCAAGGGGGACCGGACTGGACTGGAGTGCCTGCCTAGGAAGGGAAAAAAAAAAAAAAAGGACAAACCTGCTAGGAACATGGCTGCTGGGATTTACGGTGAAATTCGGTCTTCGTCGTCAGTCGACATTTAAAGGCACATTGGCGATCCTACAAGCACGCAAACAACGCCATGGTGGAAACTGGCGACTGTGACCGGATTCCGTGCAGGCTGCCTGTTTTCTTTGCTTTTCTTTGTTTCTTTTTCTTTTTGTTTTTCAAATATGGCGTGGAAATGGGTGCAAGGTGAAAAGCCTCAAGGCAGATTATGTGTTTCTGGCCGAATACAATCGAGTCGTTACATAGAAAGGTTGAAAATAGACGCAAACAAGGCGAACAGCTGACTAGCGAGATAACGTCCAAGATTTCCGGAGAAGCTGAAATGTAGAAGTGTTGATCCATCTGACTGACAATCCGAGGAATTACAATGTTAATGTGAATCTCTTCTTCTCTCCCTGCCGCCAATTTTTCCGGAGATTCGAGCGAATCAACAAAACGCAAATATCACGAGGGACGGAAGCGCGACAGTGATTTTTTTTTTCTTTTTTTCGTTTTTCTTTTCTGTGGTCCTTCCTGAAACAGTTGAAGAGGTGAATAGAATAGTCGCAACAGCCGAGAAACGTTCCGAGTACGCCGAGATGACAAGTAAAGTCGCAGAGTACTTTTCCTTCTGAGAAGACAACACAATCGATTGGCCACTGTGTGGTGTCAGGCTCGATCCATGGTCGAATGGGATGTTGTGAAGCCATTCAGTTGACATCGATGACGAAAGAAAAGAAACATCCCTGAAGAAGAGGCCCGAGGGAAGTAAGAGGGGGGGAGGAAGAGAAGAAGGAAAAAGGACAGGGAAGACGAACGATGAAAGGTTACGTGACATGAACTAGATTCGAGGTCGGATGTTCATGTCATGTCGCGCTTACCTTATCTGTATCGGTCTTCACGGGGCTCGAAAGAGCGAGGAGGGTAGGGCTCACGGCTCGGGGGAGCACCACCGCCGCTACTACCACCACCACCACCGTAGCTGGGAGGGTTAGCATCACGGTCATAATAGCCTCGACGTTCAAAACGATCATCGCGGCGATCATCGCGGCTGTACCGGTCTTCACGGCTGTAGCGGTCTTCACGACTGGATGCGTACCGGTCGACACCGCCACGATATCCACCGCTATAGTCATCACCCCGGCGATCGTAATCGCGGTAGTCACGGCCGCCGCCGCCGCCGCCGCCGCCTCCGTAGCCACGGCGGTCACTGTACGAGTCGTAGCGACCATATCGGTAGTCGTCGCCGCCACGGCGCCAGTTGCCATGGGACGGGCCACGGCGATCGTCGTAGCGATCACCGCGGCGACCGCCACCAGGAGGACCACGGAACTCTGCCGATGCAATGGTTAGCGAGTTCGTTGCAAGCCGACTGGAATGTTGATGACCACTTACCGCGCTTGGGAGGACCGAAGTACTTTCCAGGAGTCGGAGTACGGGGACGGCTACGGCGAGCCTTCTCGATGCTCAGAGTTCGGCCTTCGATGACCTCGCCCTGCAGTCCTTCCTTGGCAGCATCGGCCTGATCGGAAGTCACCATCTTGACGAAGCCGAAGCCACGAGACTCCTTTGTGTGCGGGTCCACCATGATGGAGCAGTTCTCGACATCGCCGTACTTCTCGAACAGACGCATGATGTCGGACTCGGTCAGGCGCGGGTTGATGCCAGTGACGAAGAGGTTGGATCCAGTATTGGTGGCGCCTTCCTCGTCGTCGTCCAACTGCTTGCGCGGATCAATGAGGGGCCTAAACGACAAACCCAGTAAACCATGTCAGTTGAACCGCCGACCTGAGAATGAGAGATGGAACGCATCTGTACCGGGCATTTGGCGGACGATCATCCGTGGGGACATACCGGTCCTCCATACGGGCATTGGGGGAACGGCTGCGGGCGCGGTCGGCACGGGGCTCATCACGAGGAGAAGCACTGCGGTCGCGGGGGTAGCGAGGCTCGTCTAATCCGACAGGGAAGAAAAGCAGGTTAGCGGTGCCGCCGTATTTCTCAAGCGATCGGCAGGACGGGGTTCCGATGGCTTTGTGAACGCGCGAAACATACCGTCGTAACGACCGTTCTCCTGATCGTAGTCGGCCATTATGAAAATGAGATGGATAGAAGGTAGGAACTGGTGGAAAGTTTTAGAACCGAATCAAATAGACACGTAGACGCGCGCGCGATGCACCTTTGAAGGTCAAAAGACGAAGACGTAGCTGAAAATTCAACCACCGGGACCCGAAGGGAAAGTTGAAAAAGGATAGCTGGAAGACCCGAAGAGAGAGATCCAAGATCCGATGGAAAGAAGAAGAAGAGAAGAGGAGGAAAAGAGAAGAGAAGGGGGATGAGGATGAAGGATGGATGGAAGGGGGAGAGAGAGAGAGAGAGAGGATGATGAAAGAAGGGGGAAAGAAAAGAGAGCAGAAGCTGAGCGTGACCGTGACCAGTTCGTTCCAGCAAAGAAATTCCAGACCCGGCGCGGCTCTTTGGTTGGGATTTGCCGCCAAGCCTTACAACAGATCTACCAGTATAATTCTATCTCTGGATTTCAAATGAAATAGAATTATGAATCTTTATTAGATGAAGAATTTTTGGAATAATATATTCAATCCCTCTCAAGTGCCATTACCACAGAATCACTACGAACATTACTAAAGTCGCCAGTCAAACAATGCTTCGCAAAGCAAACAAACGCCAGTTCCTTCAGGCTCCAACACAATAACAATCACAGCAAGAGTAAGACGGCCACAGAAACAAACCAACTGCAATGTAAATAAGCCCACACATAAAAAACACGAAAAGAAGAAAAAAAAACACAGACTAGAAATTGCAAGGATCAACAACAAAACAAATCAAATCTCACGGTCACGCAATCGCCTTCGACTACGCGTCCGGGTGTTCTGCGCAGCCGGCTGAGACTCCAATCCAACCATCCCATCGGTCGCTCCCTCACGAGAATTTCCCTGTCCTTCGAGTTCGTCGTCCACCAGATCTTTGAGTTCGTCCTCGTCGAGCTCGCTGAGCTCCTCGCTCATCCCACGCATGACATCGCGACCAGTCCAGCGTTCCTCGTGGATGGTCGTGCCGATGGGATCAAACGGTTGCATGTACCACTGGATCCCTCCTTGGGCCAGCGGGTGTTGCTGATCGCCTTTGAAGCTGGGTGGGGGCGTCAATGGCCCGTTCGGAGCGTCAACATGGAGATTGTTGGGCAATAGGCTGGGGTCTGTGGATTTCTCTGGTTCGCCATTGGTGGCCGGCTCGGTGAGTGATGGTTGCACGGCCGTCGACACGACCTCGGGTGCCAGCTCCTCTGAGTCCTGCGTGACAGGGGGCGTCTCCGTCCCCAAATCAGTAGATGGTTGGTTCTGAGGCTCTGCCGGGGGCTCTGTATCTTGCGTCTCCTTCGCGTCGACCATAGGGGTATCCTGTGGTTCTTGTTCAGATGGCTCCGGAACGTGGACTGTGTGCGAGGGTTCTTCTTTGGCGGCCTGGTCGGTATTATTCTCAACTTCCTCGACCCTGCCCTCCATGTCACCGGTGGGTTCGGAAGCGTCGGGCTTTGAAGGTTCGTCTTCGTCCATCGGTTCGCCAACCTCGGACCCCCGTCGGGAGAGGACGCTGTTCTCAAACATGACATCAAGATCCTTCAGCTCCTGCTCAAACGGCCGGCGATGCAGCTCGCTTTCTTTCTTGATCGCATCCTCGAGCGCGGGCTGGATGGATTTGATGATCCGCTTGGCCAGTTTTCTCTTTTCACGCTGCTCTAGGCTGAGTTCCGGGGCGCGACCGGCGATTTGCATTTGAAGTTCGGCCGTGTCGCCAGCCGGTTGGACGCCGATCTCAGACGTGAATACGCTGGCCAACTCGGACGAAAATGTGGAGATCGAGGTGTAGTAGCGCTCCTCCAACTTTGCACGTATACTCGACAATCCTTGCCGGAAGATGCCCTTACTATCGAGTCTAGAACGACGTTAATCTGCGGGATCCACATAGTAAAGACAGAGATTGACACTTACACCAGAGCTTTGTCGAAGATGGGCCAGAGGAGAGGGAAGATGGGGAAGTAAACTGTGTCTACAACGTTTCGAAGGATCTCCGCATCCTTCAGCTTCTCCCTCTCACGCTTCTTCACTTCGTCACAAAGCATCCTCAACCGATCGAGGTCTCTATACAGGCGTTCGCCAAACTCGATGCGCCGCTGGAGCCGTTTGCCACCGCCCACACCCATAGCAACATAATCTCTTCGGGTCATTTCCATAGACGAGAAGGTCTCCAGCTGCAGTTGCAGCCGTTTGAGGAGTGCAGCCCCGCGCCTGGCCTCCCGTTTCAAAGTCCAGTACTTGCAGGCGTCTTCGGCATACTGTTTCCTCTGACGGACCCCAAAGCGCTGGAGCGATGCGATGATGGAGTTGAGAACGACCTGGGGGATCACGGGGGCGCCCGACTGTAGTTTCCAGACAGTCCTAGGAGGGATCCGCTTCCGCTTGTTGCCACCAACGGTAAGGGTGAGGCGCGGTGTGTGGGTTCTATGGCCGTCATCACCATGATCGCATCCGAGGGAGGTGGACGGCTCCAATGCGAGTGCAGTAGCCTGGCTATCTCCCCATCGTCGGCCTTGCATGGTGCTGCGGTAGTATTCGACGGCGTCAGCCGTCGCGGCATCTGTCCCATGCTCGCGGCGCCACTCGGGAGGAACGTGCTTGTCACAGAACGCCTTCAATAGATGAGAATCCATGATCCCGGGGGATCCATGACCGGTCTTCATCTTTAGATAGAGCTGGGCCCTGCGAGCACAGGTAACATGGAAGGCGACGAAGCAGTTCTTGTTGCTGCACTGGATGGAAGCGCCCATTCTCTGACGACAGATGTAGCAAAGGAGTTTCCAACGACTTCGGGGCACCTTCTCGATGTCGGTGATGGGCTCCATCAAGGACGGATTACCGATAGAGACCTCCGGAATCCAGATGGCGCAAAGCAAATGAGACCATTTCGACGATGTGGTTTGCTTGAAGGCGCCTTCGGTATTCGGACAGAAGATGCAGTTGACCGAACCCCTCCCAATGAGCTGGCATTTGCGACAGAGCCACTGTCCTTCGGGGATAAAAGGAACACCGTAACATTCTTGATGCACGGCCAGATCACAGCCGTCGCAGAACACAATGGCATTAGAATTCTCGCAGTCGCCATCGTCGCAAATCGCACACTTGGTGTCCTGATCCTCCCCAGGTCCTGCTGTTTCTCCGTTGACCGCTGCCGCCGAGCTCGAGCGAGGACGCTGTGTCTGCGGGGGTTTAGGATTCGGCTTCGGTATTCGTTTTTCAAGCGTGTGCCATTCTTTTTCAATCTTTGTCATAGTAATCTCAAAAACCGCCGGCTTGATAGGTTCCAGCTGGTCGTTTCTCCGCTTCATATTGTATTCCTCCAGCCACTTGGCGTCTTGTTCGTCCATGTCGTATTCCACCCTGCCAACCGTAGGGTTAACTTCACCCTCAATCGCCACAGGGTTGACAGCGTCAAGATCATCCTCTTGCGCCCCCTCAGTCATGCGTATCATCTGGCGTTCATGACGCAGGAAAAGATCGCTCTCCTGGTAGCCCACACTAGCCATGGTACGATCGACATAATTCTGGCCGACGCCGGGCTGGTCGTAAAAGTCGAAGGGGTCGCGCATGCGAAAAGAGGGCTTGGGAAGAGTCAATTTCTCGCGAGGATTGGGGCCTGGAGGCGGGACAGCCTTTGGCTGGGGCGAAATGCCCAAAGCGTTGAGGATAGCTTCAGGGCGACGGGGAGGACGTCCAGGGCGACGTTTGATTGGGGTCGGCGAGGTACCATTGGCGTGAGCACGAATAAGCTCCGCTAGTGGATCCTTGTCGCCTTTCGGATCCAGCCCGTTCGGAGACAAGATATTGGCAATGGGCCCTGCTGGAGCCGGGCCATCTACCTCCTCTGAATTGAACACGACAAACCTGGCCTCTATATCGAGATCTGGATGAAATTCCTCCCATCCTCTCTCTTCTCGAGGTTTGTATCCATCCCCTTGTTGCAAAGCGAGAGCAGCGGAGGTCGAGGAGCCGAAACGACCGCGATTCTGGCTCTTGTCTCTCCTCAGCCGCGCAGAGGGGGGCGTCGTCGGCGCAGGGGGCGGTGGCCGCGGCGGCAATTGGACAGGACGAGGTTCAGACTCTGGGGCCTGGCGAGCTCGAGCTCCCAATGATTGACGGCGGATGGGTGTAGGTTTTGCTGGGGACGTTGGCTTTGCTGGTTTTGCCGCCTTCGCCGACTTCGCCGTCTTTGCTGATTTCACCGGGCTTGTCGACTTTGCTTTCTTGGGTGTCTCCTTCACGTCCAGCTCGATGTATCTACCCCCACCGCCCGGACCACCGGGGACGTACTTTCGTTTCTTAAGTGGAGGGCCTTCGCTGGATGTAGGGTCTGAGCTGCGAGAAGATTTGATGGACGCTTTAGATTGGTTTCGGGACGACCTCCCCGGAGAGGAGTACTTTGGCGAAGAATATGGCGCCATCTTCAAAGACGATGAGAGAGGAGGGGGAGAGGGAGGGGGGTGATAAGAAGGTCGTGATTGTCTGGTGTGCCTGCTCAGCCGCACGTTTTCGCTCGAAGTAGTGGGAGAACCGCCGAATAACAGTTAGAAACGAGATGAGGACATGAGTAAAGATCAATCATGACGTGTCGCAAGAATGACCGCCATCAACGAACAGAGAAGAGAAGCGAGCCGTCAACGAGAGACGTAAGGAGGAGGCAGGGTGTGGGTGGAACGCGAAGGCGAGAACGGGAGTTGTCCGTTATCTCAGTCAGTTCAGGTCAGTGTTCGGCGCTAGCCGCGCTGGGCCAAGGCGGAGAGGCTCCACTGCCACCAAGGCGGAGAGAGCTTGCCGGTACAACAAGCAGTCAGGACGAACTGTTGTCTTTCTGCTTCTATTTTTTGTATTTCTTTTTACTGCGCATCCATCTTCTCTGGACTATGAGCGGTATGGGCGAAGACCGGTATGTTTCGTTCTTCCTCGTTATCCCTCCTATCCCTCCCATCCCTGATTCTCGCGAGTCTCTTACTGACACAGGCTTAATTTAGTTGGCGCGGAGGTCGACAGTACGACCAAAACCGCCACCATGGACAACAGAAACACTCGCTGAATCGCACAATGAGCGCGCACAGTAACGCTCGCGGTGGACAGGGTTACAACAATGCTAGCAATAACTGGGGCGACTCGCGCGACCTCTCCGCAGGACCGTCCCCCGATCAACACGTGCCCGTCAGCGGTTTCAACGCCGCAGAGTCGAAGACAGCTCTCAAGAGAAGTACGTCGCGTCGCCAAGTGTAAAATGATAGAGTCACTGTACTGACGGGTGTGGTTTTCTCTTCATCCACAGATCCAGGAGGTTAGTACTCATCGCCCGCTTTTCAGACAGCTCGCCCGCTTCCCAGACAACCAGACACGCGCTCCGCCAACCAAAACGCTAACTCGATCGTTCCAGGACCGAGACCCTTCTTCTACAAGCTTGGTAAAGACGCAGGAAACCGTCCCAGTGGACCTTGGGGCTCCAAACGTAGGCCTCTACCTCACCTCTCCGCGCCATCTCTGCCTTTCACTAACCACCAATGCCACATACAGCCAACACGATGGCCAACGGAAAGGACTTCTTCCTCGAACTCCGCAAACAGATCACCACCCTGCAACAAGGCGGCAACGCCGCCGGCGGATGAGGTTGAATAGCCGTTGCGGGGATTGAGTGAACGACATTGCTGCAGAGGGCGAGATTCGACTGACGCCTCGACATCATTCTGAAGTGGCGTTTCACGTGTGATGTGGTGGTGGAAGCGAAGGGTCTCCTCCGATCGCTGGACGACTGGATGACACGACTAGGTTTTGGATTTATGTCGACTGGATTGGGTACAGTACACGTACACGGTTCGGTGCAGACAGCTCCTCGAGATAAGACAGAAGAATTGAAAGGTGCGGCACAGCACAGCGTTTAGGGTAAGATGGCGTTCTATCGTTGTTTTGTAACGCTTTCTGCGCGGTTTGAGCCTGTACCTACATATGATAAAAGAAAATCACCAAATTATTCATAATGTTTAATTGTCATTCTCTATGAAATACTATACAAGTATGGTCAACCCTCGCATGCCGGAGGGGTGGTTCGTAGACATCGAAGCTACTTAGAATACATGAATATCACGCTACATAATGTACAATCTATGTCACCACACACAGTGGCAGACTTACACCTTCTGCCATCCAGGCGGGCCCAACACCCCACCGTCCTCAGCCTGCGGATCCAACGACCACTTCCTCAAAACGCGACAACTAAGATCCGAGCGCCAGCCCCGTTCAAACATCTCAATACCAGCCCACGCAATCATAGCCGCATTATCCGTACACAAGTACGGCGGCGGCGCCACAACCTCAACATGCCCGAACCCGCGGACATCAAGAAACGAGCGGAAAACCGTCATAAGGAACCGATTAGCGGCGACTCCACCGCTGATCACAAGCGTCTTGACCTGCTCGCCGCAGGGGTTCACTCGGCGCAGCGACTCGAGTGCGATAACGGTGCGGGACGCAAGATGCTCGAAGCTAACGCGCATTGTCTCGCGCGCGAGGAAGGCCCGCTCCTCGTGCGACATTTCCTGCCCCGTCAGCTCTGCCTTTTGGGCGACGATGCGTTTCACTTTGCTGGCGATGGAGGAGAAGCTGAACTCTAGGTCGCGCGTGTTGGCGAACGGCGGCGTCAGGTACCAGCCGTATTGTGTTGGGCGCTTGGCTATTTCCTCGGTGCGGGTTGTTGGAGGTCGGTAGTCGGCGTAGTCTGCGCTTCCGTTGGGGAAGGCGAATTGTTCTAGCGCTTTGCCGTACATGGTGCTTTTGGACGCTTGTATTGTTTCTTTTGGGAGGATTTCTCGCGCGGATTTATCCAGGCATTCGCCGATTGCGATGTCGGTGCTGGATGCCATGACCGTGTGGTCCGTCACGGAAGACGAGTTCACGAGCATCGAGTGGCCGCCGGAGACTAGGATCGACAGGAAAGGAAACTCGGGAGTGATAGTCGACGACGACGAAATCGCGTTGTTGCTGCCAGCATCCCGACTCAAAGAAGACACCAACCGGGGCGTCAACAGATGCGCCTGCATATGATGAACTCCGAGAAACGGGATCTGCCATGCCACCGAGAGCGCTTTCCCCGTATCCAAGCCGACAAAAAGATTGGACCGCATGCCCGGTCCTCGTGTAGAGGATACGAAATCCGGCTTGCGGCGCATTCGCGCATCATCCGACAGCGCAACCGAGTTATGAGGCGTCGCGTTTTCCGGCGCAAACGGCAAGTATGGGAGGGCCTTCTGCACCAGCTTTGCCATGTTCTCCTGGTGCGAATAGAGCGCTAAGATGGGGTGGATGCCCTGGTACTCCCGGGTGTCTGCCGTTACATTCTCGAGAAAATGGATTGTTGTCGGGTGGGCGGGGCTTTCGGTGTTTTTTTCAACGATTGCGACGGAGGTATCATCGCTGGTAGGGTTCATCCATCGAGTCAGTAAGTTGAGCAGGGACTGGCCGGTCCGCTGTGGCGCGACTCACCAAGATGTCTCGATCGCGAGGGTGAGAAGCCCACGATTCTGGGGACGCGTGCCCCATCTTGTAGCTGCGCGTACGCCTTTGCGCAGAGCTACTGTCGTCACTCGTGAATTCAGCATTGGCAGGAAGATGGGGACGATCGAGGACGTTTCAGGTCGGCGCGGCGGCCGATCAGCCGCGGAAGAGATGGATCTCGCACGGGCCACTCCGCTAATGGTCGATACCGTCCTTACTATCTACAAGGGAGTATTCCTTACATTGTAGAAAATACCATGTTGACAGTCGACACACTTGACACAGTCCGGTATTACACATATGAATATAACGAGTGGCATTGGAAAACTCCATACTATAATTCGCATCATGTCATCACATCATAAACATAATAAGTATCCTATACACGAAATCCTCCATTCCTTCCATGGTTTACATGCATTCAGCGACCTTCCAATCCGACCTTTACCAGCTTAGATATCCTCCAGTATTCCCGCAGAGAATCGAGTTGAGCTGTTGATTCAGAGTCGGAGCCGGGCGCGGACGCAGAAGAACAAGACGTAGCGAGGGTCCAGACGACTCCGATCCTCCGTCCTGGCAGTCCCATAATTCCGTCTGTAACTGCGGTGTTTCGTCGAGTAGCTAGCTACTGCAACATTTCAGTCTCGAACGATCCATCGTCGCTCCTCGCGCGACAACTTGGTGTATGTGCCGTAGTACTCGTCGGGGTTCTCAATGGGCGTCACACAGTGCACGGTCGGAGTGTTCTGGAACTGGATGCGCTTGTCGGGATTCCCGTGTGCTGGACGTTTCTTGAGAATGCTTTTGGTGGAGCATGAGTTGGTGTAGTTGTAGGATGGCACTTGCAAGGACGGGAACCGCTTTGCGCTGGGGCTGGCAGCAGGTGGAGACAGAGGGGTGCGAGGAAGTGGTCCGGGAGACTTGAGGGACAACGTAGGCCGCGAGCAGCCCTGTGCAGCAGAGATACTCAGAGATAGCTGTGGTCGGAACATTGTGGCTATAGTCTGTGGATGAAGTCGAAGAATGACGGGTGTAATATAGTTTGAGGAAGGTAGACGGGGTAAACAATAAACAACGGAGGAGTTGTAAGAAACTGGCGGTAAACACTTCGGTCAACGAGGTATTCCTGCAGGTGGGCGTGTAAATGATACTATTATTGACGTAGATGCAGATCCAAAAATAAACAGCAAGCGAAAAGAACTACTAAGCTATCGTCTGGACCAGCCAAACGAAAAACCCTAGAAAGATGAAAATAGACTGAAACACCAACTGTCCCAGGAAAGAGAAACAAACCCCAATGTCTGAGGAAAGTTGGGCGGCTATATAGTCGCCAGCAGCTCGGGCAGGGAGAGGGAGAAGTGTACGAGGGGAAGCGGGCGAGCAGGACGGAGAGTTGGTGGGTGGCACGGCCAATGATCGCCAGCCATGCCTCCTAAGCGCCAACAATCTGCACGAGTTGGCACAGAAACACCCCTCTGTCACACTTAGTCGAGAAGTCTCTGGATGAAGAGGACGAATGATGATTCATTTTCAAGGGTTCTCGGTGAGTAAACTCCACCAACCCTTGGGATCTGACTCGAGACTCGCCACCGGTGTTGCGATACATCAAACAGACTAGCCAGGCTGGAGCAGTCGAGGGATCTGGCAAACTTTCTTTATAGCGATCGGAAGAGTCGATGAGATAGTATTGCCTGGATTGATCCATGATTCCAGTACAGTAATATGGCTGCTTTCGACAGTGTATGCTATAGTTCATGTGTATTTCTTTTTATAGTGCTATAACTTGCATCCACTTTGCCCTGAATGATACAAGAGAAGATTAGTACTTTTCATCTCTAAACTCTGACATTCCTCTGGTACATGATATGCCCTCTTAGATTTACCCTCTATTCCCAGACTCAATGTGTTATAGTGACTGAACGACTGTCCATATTGAAGACGATCTGCAAGCGGGGTCAGACTTCTTGTGATGGTGCACTGATATGTCGTGATATCCCTTCATCACATCACATCCTGCTGTGCAGATTGTGTGCCAGAAAGGAAAGGAGCAAATTTCTAGTCTGTTCATCAACAAGGTCTCAGCATTGTCAATCTGATTGTTTCAGACTAAACAGAACAATTGTGGCATAGGACAAGACTGGAAAAGAAATGCGTGAATGTATTATGCCTGTCTCTGATCATAGACAGGACGAGAACCCTCCCAACGGAAAATACAGAGGAAGATCAACCTAGGCACTTGGAAAGGGCTGTGTGACGAAGTTGCAAAATAGACCAAACAAGTACCAGTACACATGACTGACTTATAAGCATGCTACCCTATAGATCAGATGGTTTTGTTCCTTTTCAGATTCTTGACAGGACTGGCGAAAATACAGCATGGCAGGCCAGATACTGCTTTAGTAAACCAATCTGGATAATGTTCAGAGTACTCCGTAGGACAGAGCACTTTTTGTTCCACAGTGTTCCCTGCTCAAGAAGGAGTGGCCAGTGACCAAGGAAGCCACGGCAGGCCACCTCAACACCCAACAGGTCTGTCAGCATCACGCAAATACTATCATTGCTGCATCGCCATCAACATTTCTTCATGGCTATGCGTCTTCTGGCTCATTGGACAGCGTATGCTTTTGTCTAACATCATCAAGCACCTTCGCCGCTCTGTATACTTCCTGGGTCAAGCCAGTGACGTCAAGATCCCTAGACTCTGCTTGCTTGACCATAGCCTGTCTGTCTCGGATCTAGAAACTATCTTTCCGTCCTTTTACAATATCCATAGTCATCTGAAATGGGTATCTGGCGGAACCTCGTGGAACCTGGTGGTTAGTTGACCACGGCGATTCTTGTCATAACACCCGTCCATCTAACGAACATGTCGTTTCTCCCCCAGCGATCGTGGCAGTTTTTACGGCTGGCACGCTGATCAACCGGGACAAGAGGGCCCATATATTTAGAACACCATGCGTCGAGTCACAGCTGCTCAGGGACGAGCGCGAAGAGCAGAAGTCGGATGACAAGCGTCCTACGATCCAGACACGAGTCCTCGCACACTTCCCTTTCCTGCTGGAGATATGGTACTGGTTACTGACGTATTGGGTACTGTACCTAGTTCTGATGGATATTTGCGAACACATCGAGTATTGCTGACGATCGACCTCGCTAGATCTACCAAGGACTCCGAGCCGTCTCCGCGAGATTGATCGCCGGAAATAAGCCCATCTTTGACACCGCTGAGCGCCATGCGCACCAAATCCTCGCCCTGGAACATATATTGCACGCAGACGTAGAGCTATCCGTTCAGCGATTCGTCCTGGAACGTACGCCCTGGTTGATGTCCTTGCTGGCTCGCGTATACTACTCCCACATTGTGATCGGAGTGCTGTTTCTCGTATACAGCTACACGCTCTACCCCCGCGACAAGTACCAAGGCATCAGACGTGCTCTTGCCCTGGAGAATATCATCGCCTTTACGCTCCTCACACTGTGGCGCTGTGCACCCCCGCGTCTGCTCCCCGAGGAAGACGGCTTCATCGATGTTCTTCACAGCAGCAGGGGCGGGTCCGCATGGACACAGAACAAGTTCCAGCTGACCATAGCAGCGATGCCGTCGCTTCACTTCGGGAACTCGGTGCTGATCGCTCTGTGTCTGTGGAGGTTCAGTCCGCACTGGTACATCCGGGCCGTGGCGCCGATGTGGCCCCTCATGATGGGATTGACTATCGTCGCGACTGCGAACCACTTCCTTCTTGACGCTTTGGTTGGGGCTGGAGTCACGCTGACTGCGTACCGGTTCAATGCGGCGATGCTGTATCTGCTGCCGGTCGAACGCGTGCTCTTTTGGCTGTTTCGAATTGAGAAGCCAGTATATCAAGGATGAATCATGGATGATGGGACATGATGCTTGTTTCACACACTTTTCTATCTTTCTTATGCATTGGTACGGGCTGCAGAAGCTAGGTCGCTGCCCTAGATAGAAATTTTATTCATATACGGAGTAACTCCGAGGGTATAGTAGTAGGTTTATATAGAGAATCACTAGGGAGTAGTAAGCCAAGCTGTTACCGAGATCAAACACAATACAGATATCAAACCTCTCTATAGCAATCAACCACTTCATCCAACCCCAGATAATATGCATTAAACTCCTGGATCCAACCGCAACAGACAGCACCAACCTCTTGATCCCCAAATCCAGGACACTGTTCTCCACCATACTCCATATTGAAATCAGCCGTACATGCTAAACACGTTCTAGACTAAATGACTAAACCGACAATCCCCAATTTCTCGTACGTAAGCATGCACAGTACACTGCACAGACAACTAACTAGCTCCTTCTCCAAGATGAACCTCACAAACTAATATAGGTAGTAAACTCTTCTACAGCAAATGATATATCTCAATCTCCTTTCCTGCTAAGGAAGAGAAGAGAAACCACTCGGATGGACATACTCCATAATACCTAGGTGTATATCACCCATAATACCGTCGATCAAACAAGGAGAACATGATTTCTATTTAGTAAATGGCTACTGTGTCCTTATTCCAATCCTAATCTAATCCCAATCCTCATTCTACTTGATCCTGACTCCGCACGATGCGGAGATACCTTGGTAAGCGCGAGGATCCGCATGGAAGATTTCGGGGAGAGAAGGGTGGGGAAGGGGGCGGGGGTGGAAAATGAAGGTTGTTCAGGTGACTGTTTTAACCTGCCTAGTACTTACTACAATGGGCTAGGCTTGATGTTGTCATAATAAGGTGATGGGTTAGTGTCTTTGGTTTGGGAGGGAGGTATCCGGGGGATCCCGATGGGGGCGAGATGCTTATTGTTTGTATGACCTCTTGTTTTACCTGTGTATATAGTCCGGGGAGTTTGTATATGTACGTGCCATGTCTATGTGGATGGCCATTTATGTAATGGAGGAAGGTACATAATACACTTGAGTGGATGAAAATAGAACTCAAGACGCCTCATCTATGTATAGAAAGTATATTCCTAGCCGGTAACAACTATATTACCCGCTGAGGACAGTGTTTGGTGGTGGCCAGGTTGCCACCATCACTCCTTCGCTCTCCCTTCCCCTCTCTACATTATCAATCAATCAATACATTCAAGATATAACAATACACTAACAACTCAACCCAACTACAAAATACAAACCGAGGCAAAACAAGATACACTCATTTTCGTGCGTTCTCCAATTCTAGGACCCGCCCTGGCGTCCCCCTTCCCAGCCTCCCCTCCTTTCTCCACACCGAAGACGGAGGCGCCCGTTCGCCATCCATCCAGCCCCGTCCACCACATCGGGCCGAACTTTGGGGAGCCAAAGAGATGGCAGCATGTATTATCTTCCCTTTCCTTTTTGATGGTCAAGTGGGTAAAAAAGTGGTTTCGTTCGCGGTTGTCATGTGAAGACCCTCGCCCGTTTCATGTGCTGGTCTGTATGACAGTTTGACTGCCGAAGACTTACCTCTAATTTACTACCTCTCTGAGGTAGGTTCGAGGTATGGTTGAGTCCCGGTGTGGGAGATAAGCTGTGTCTGAGGAAGGGGATAGATGATGATGCGCCCCTACCGCGATCATCCATATAATAAAATGCCTATATATTATACTCTCCTCCCATCCTGCCGGTAAGCTACTCGACTAGGCTAGGCCGGTCACCTGGACCGACTTGTGTTCTCGAAACTCCCTGCGCCCAGGGGTCAAGTCCGAACCAGCGATTTGTATTGGAACGTTTTCTTACCCTCTTCCCGGAAGGTTACCGTCCGTGGCGCACCCAGTCAAGTGTCGACCGTGGTGGGAACCAGGAGGCGGATTGGAAGTTTGGTTTGATTTTTTATTTTTGGGTTTCGGGAAAGGAACGATCTTTCTTCGGTCGCTCCGTGGATGACTGATGGAACATCGATCACTTAGATGGTTATTTATTATAGGTATACATACTGATGTTGTTGTGTTGTGAGAATACTACGTAGTAGATAGAATGGGGCATGGATGCACCGGAGATCGGGGGTGGATAAAGTACAGCGTCAGAAGTATAGGTAATGAAAAATACGAAGCAGATAGAGAATGAAAAGGAAGTCCGATCAAACAAACAAACATTGTTCTCATCGGGTAAATTCCAGTCTGGTTCCAGGGGCGGTGAGGGTTTTTTTTTTTATTCTTTCTTTTTTTATTCTTTTTATTCTTTTTATTCTTTTTATTCTTTTTATTCTTTTTTTTCTTTCCCCCTCGTGGCCAACATAGGAGAATCAATGGAAAGATAGAGATAAATATAAAAATGATAGAGAAAAAGAAAGAAAACTTTGATTAGTCTCAGCTGAGGCAAATTGTAAAATTCTTCATAACTCTTAACTATTATTATCTGATACTGTCAGTCTCGGAAAGGATAATATAATACCTAATAATCACTAGTCATAAAAATCATAATCAAAATAAAAATAAAATAATAAAAGGACCACTTTTTCTTTCACTCCGAGCAGATCACCGATCTAACAGACTAGAAACAACCTGTACACAATAAGGCTCACCTTGGATTTTCTTTCTCCTGCATTTTCCTCTCTCCCAATTTTTCCTTTCGACTTTCTTCATTTCTTACTCCACACAAACCTTTTCTAGTCGGATTCTTTCCCCTTCATAATATCACTCTCCCTTCCCTCCCGTCGCGCGTCCTTGGTCTTGGAGACTTGGTTACCACTCCCTCGAAAAAAATTAATTGGATTAGACTCTCACTTCCCGTGGTTCATTCTGAGAAAAAGGGAATAGAAGAAGAACAAGAAGAAGGATAAGAAAAGAAAAAGAAGTGAAAAATAGAACATAAATCCTTGCATGCCACAATGACCGTAAAGGATGCGGTGAAAGAGTCCTTGATCGGCACCTCCGATGAGTCGCATCAGGCCAGGACTAATTTCCTACGACATGCGCGCAAAGATGAGACCTCCGGGGAATACTTCATGACCGAGGACGACTTCGTCGATGCGATTGCTCCGAAGCACGAGGACTATGTGAGTCGAAATCCTTCATCCCTACCCTATGAGTCACACATGGCAGTTCCTCATCCACCCCGAGACCACCTCTTGGTGAAACGTGGCTAACGGATCGGTCGCGTACAATAGCATAAAATCAAGCGGGAACACTACGGTATTCTGTTCAATGTCGCCGACAAGCGGAGGGCCGGGAAGCTGAACCTGGCCGATTGGACCACCTTCGAGAACCTGCTGTCCAAGCCCGATGCCGAATATGAGATCGCCTTCCGACTGTTCGATACCGATGGGACCGGGACCGTGAAATGGGAGACGTTCCACAACCTGTACAGCCAGACCAAGACCCAGGACAGCATACCCTTCGACTGGAACTCGGACTGGGCCTCCCTGTACAGCGGACGGAGCAAGAGCCGGCATGACATGACATACCCTCAGTTTTCCCAGATGCTGCGGGGTTTGCAGGGTGAGCGGATCCGCCAGGCGTTCCACACGTTTGACAAGGATGGCGACGGATACATCGAGCCGCAAGACTTCCAGCGCATCATCCTCGAGACCTCGAAGCACAAGCTGTCGGACTACGTCTTGGATCAGCTCCCGTCCCTGTGCAACATCTCGGCCGGTAGCAAAATCTCCTATTCGACCGTTCGGGCCTTCCAGAATGTCATGCGCGAGATGGACTTGATCGACTTGATCGTGCGCGAGGCGACCCTGAAGAGCGGCGACGGGAAAATCACGCGCGCCGATTTCTTGAACGAGGCCGCCCGGGCCACCCGCTTCTCGCTCTTTACCCCTATGGAGGCCGATATCCTCTTCCACTTCGCGGGTCTGGACGCTCCCTCGGGTCGTCTGGCCCAGAAGGACTTCGCTAAGGTGATCGACGCCTCGTGGCGCATGCCACTGGCAACTGCTGGGCAGGCTGTCGCGGCGGCGTCGGGAACCGCGCATAAAGCCGCGGACAAGACCAAATCAATTCTGTACAGCGTTCTCGAGTCCGTCCACCACTTTGGCCTGGGTAGTATGGCGGGTGCCTTTGGCGCATTCATGGTTTACCCCATTGATCTGGTGAAAACGCGCATGCAAAACCAACGGTCCACCCGTGTCGGAGAGCGGCTGTACAACAACTCGCTGGATTGCGCAAAGAAGGTCATTCGGAATGAGGGGTTCACCGGCCTGTACTCCGGTGTCGTCCCCCAGCTGATTGGCGTTGCCCCGGAGAAGGCCATCAAGCTCACGGTGAACGATCTGGTCCGTAACCACTTCACCAACAAGGATACAGGCAAGATCTGGTACGGCCACGAGATCTTGGCTGGTGGTGCAGCCGGTGGTTGCCAAGTGGTAAGTTCTGTCGTGCCTCTAACACCCCAGGCGCATGTGACTCACGACGTTTCACTAGGTCTTTACCAACCCCCTCGAAATCGTGAAGATCCGCCTGCAGGTTCAGGGTGAGATCGCGAAAACCGTGGACGGTGCTCCCCGCCGGTCCGCGCTCTGGATTGTGAAAAACTTGGGATTGATGGGGTTGTACAAGGGCGCCAGCGCCTGCTTGCTCCGTGATGGTAAGAGCTTGTTCCACGAAACCTTACCTGCCAATGGACTGTGCTAACCTTTCAATGATAGTCCCCTTCTCCGCCATCTACTTCCCCACCTATTCGCATCTGAAAACGGACTTCTTCGGCGAGACGCAGACCAAGAAACTGGGCGTGGTGCAGCTCCTGACGGCAGGTGCCATCGCCGGTATGCCCGCCGCCTACCTCACGACGCCCTGCGATGTCATCAAGACCCGTCTGCAGGTGGAAGCCCGCAAGGGCGAAGTCGGCTACACGGGCCTGCGCCACTGCGCGTCGTCCATCCTGAAGGAGGAGGGCTTCAAGGCCTTCTTCAAGGGCGGTCCCGCGCGCATCATCCGCTCCTCTCCGCAATTTGGCTTCACCCTCGCCTCGTACGAGCTGCTGATGAACTGGCTCCCGATGCCCGGGTCGACCGCCGAACCCGGCCCCAGCGGCCAGATCGAGCCCGGTGTCGGCCTGCAGAGCGCCACCGCTCCCCTCCCTTATCTCCGATCCCGAAACGCCCTCAAGCTGATCCTTGACCTCGACGAGAACATTGGTCGTGTGCGCATCCCTACCGCTGATAAGTGGCCGAAGTTTATGCCCTCTTCGAAACAATAAATATGCATGTTGTTTTTCTTTTGTACTAAATAGCGATGAATTTACCGTTTCCTTTGTTTCCTTCTTTATTCTTTTTCTTCTTCTCGTGTCTTTTCTTTTGCCTTTGAATTGGAAATACCTTTGCCGTTTTGACCCGAGTCATCCCTCTGCGGTTTCCGAAAACCCCCCTCTGGGGATGAGTTTCCTTTCTCCCTGTCTTACTTACAACTACTTCTCCTTCTTTCTCTCTGCACATGCACACTGTAACAAAAGATAGACATCCGGGAGTTGGGGTAGAGAACCCAGACTCCTTCTCTTTCCCGCACGTTATGTTTTCTAGAGCCCTTTTGTCTTCATTTCTTCTCTTCTGTCTCTCGCGCATACTATTGATACTATCGTGGGACGGAGTCAAGACTATTGGATCTTTTCATATGTGCTTATGGGGCTCGCTACTTAGAATTAGATACATACATGTGTATAGATAGGTATAAGGCTTGCTTGGTTAGGGTCCTTTTTGTATTATCTTGGTTGTTTTTGTTGGGCTGGTATATGTATGGGATTTACTACATAGAACACAATTTAATTGGCTTGTTGTTGGCTTTGCCGTTGTCTTTGTAGGGATAAGTACGCAGTGCAAGCCTACGACTGTAGTAACATATCTGTTCACGAGGCAGTGATCAAAAGATTTGCATATGAAGATGCCATCTGTGTCTATCATGGTGTATAAGTTGATTTTGTACAGGATAAGTCGGTTTTGATGTACAGGTTTTCTTTTTCATTCGACTCCATTTCTTTCCTTCTTTTTCTTCCCCCCTCTTTCCTTCTGGGTCGATCCATGTATCTCGCGGATGGAGTCTCAGCCAAGCTCGTGATTGTGCACATGCTAAGCATGGCGTCTATTCGACATGCCGCTACGCTGGATCGATGCCAGAAATGCCAGTCCCCGACAAGGCCACTGCGTCTACCTAGCCCAGCCAGCTAAAGACACACACGGTTCCCTCTGCGTGCGTCCTGTCAGGTTGTATTGCCACGACAATCCGTCAGGTATGTAAAGTCGTAAATATAGCGATAGTACGTAATAGGAAATCAATGGCCTAAAAGAAATGCGCCTTTCGTTTCGAAGCATTCTCTGTCGATGGCTCGTCGCTCGTCTTGGGCGGTTCGGCCGCGGGGGCGGGCTCTTCCGGGGGAGGCTGCGCTTTCGCGGCGGCGGCGTTTTTCTGATGCCATAGGGATTCCTCGGCTTCGATTTCTTGGAGGACTGTAAACCGGAAAAAAAAAGAAGTGCGTCAGTAAAAGCATACTCAAGACCTACTGGGCCAGACAATGCTAGGTGAACAAACCCTCGTCCCACTCCCTCTCCTTGGCCTCATTCCCCGTCCCCAACAACTTCTCCACATCCACCTTCTCCCCATTCTTAACGCGCTCGATGACCTCACGAAGCAGAGTGATCTTCGCGTCTGTCGACCGCGTAAACGCCGCGTAGTCGTTCTTGAGCGCAATCATCCGGATAGCCTGCGACCCGATCAGGGTGAACATGATGATGTAGAAGCTGGCGGGATTCCATTCTTTGGATTTGGGCGACGACGAGTCGGAGCGGGACTTGCGGTTACGGATGAATTTGGGGACGAGGGAGGTCCAGAGGGAGGGCTGTGCGATTTTGGGAAGGGAGTCGGAGGAGCCGTATCGTCGGGTGGTAATACTATGTCGTTGTTGCTGTTGTCGGTGTTGCTGTTGGAGGCATTGTCGCGGGGAGAAGTGGGATTGGAAGGTGGGGAGGGTGCGGCGAGTTGAGAGCCGTGTGGCGGCGTTCATTGTGAGAGAGGCCATGGCCTGGGATTGTAAAATCAATGTGTTGAGATCATGGAATGAAAGGCGATAAATGGTGGATATTCAAGCAGTTCTCTTTCTCTCTCCATTAATGCGATAGACCCGCCGATTAGAACTAGTCTGTATCTGGTTTAGTGCAAATTACATATCATGTGACGAGACATGAACTGGAAAGCATTACGCTAGTCCCCTTTCAGATTAGTATACGCATGTTGTCGTGACAACGGTTTGGCTTGGCGAGTTTGGCTGGGCTGGACTGACAGTCATGCGAAGCAACGAACAAGCCGCTGCTCATCCATACCATCCTGTCGATTGCGAATGGCCAAGCGTGCTACTACATCCTCATTTTACTAACTACGACATCTCCGCCCCCGCCCCAATGGCGGTCACGACCCTACTCCCAGATTCCTCCGTGGAATCGGTGAAGCTGGCCGTTCGCTCGACAACAACATGCTCCGCGGCCACCGTGTTGACGCTGCAGACGCTCTTTCGAGGGCCCGCCAAATCATCATCAGGGACCAGCATCACTGCAGTGAGACACAATAACAGCAAGACATTGAACACATCGACATCGACAACACGAACGAAGACCTCCCGAACGACGTCGAAAACGAAGGAAGCCGCCATCACCGCCCTGACCGAGACAGATGCGGCCCGCCTGTCGCACCAGGAAAAGCTCGTGCTGGCCACGGAGGTTTTCAACACGACACTCAAGACCCTCTCGGATGAAGTGCGAGTACAAAGCTCGAAATCTACGGCGCCTCGCGTGCGACCCGCGCAACCGCCCTCCCCGAATCCCGACCCCGCATCGTCGAGAAAATTGAAGAGGTCACAGTCGACAACGCCGGAGATACAAGATGGGGACAGTGGGCTGGCTGGTGTGGCTGAATGCGCGACGCTTGCGTTGGCGTGTTTGCGGACGTTGAAGAGTGGACAAGGGGATCAGGAAAAAGGGGCCCCCAATGTGCAGTTGGAGCAGGGCGCGTGTGTGCTTGCTGGGAGGTTTCTGTCTCTGGGGTTGAACGACCTGGCCTATAAGGAGTTGAGGGGTCTGAAGAGGAGGGTCCAACAGTATCTGGATAGCAGGGCGACGGCCCGCAAGAAGAGGACCGATGATGTGACGGAGGAGGATACCGCCAAGGAGCGCATGTCGGACTTGCTCACGTTCACCAACGTCGATAAAGCTGGGCCTATTATTGGGACAGTTGTGTCCTTCCAATCGAATGCCCTGCGTCTGATCGCCTCCGAGAAGAAACTCTCGACCACCCAGAAGTTGCTGCCTGCACTGCAGCTTTCCAACCACAGCAGTCCTGCGGCTGTCATTTTCTCGGCTATGGAAGCGGATGCTCTCGCCAAAGACAAAGCTGCTCTGCAGCTTCAATTATTATCCAATACCCTGTTGTCTTTGTGCTCCGCATCTCAATCGTCGACAACCACGAGTTCGACAAGACCAATTACGTCACTTACCCTTCAGTTGCTGTCTCTCGAAACCCGCTGTTCGTCTTGGAAGCTTTCGGGCCATAAGTGCGATGAGGTGAAGGAAATGTGGGACCCCCTGGCGCGCTACCTTGCCAGCTACGCCCACCACAGCAAGGGTATTGAAAAATCGGAGTTTGCGTCCGTCTACACGACTATCGTTCGACTCCAGAATGCAGTTTCCAACACGCCGAAACACCCCACCGATACTCCCAAGGACAACCTTTGCGTGGCTAGGATTGCCACCGTTCTAGGCCAACTTGCCCAGGAGGCCGGTTGCCTCAAGGAGGCCCTTAAGCTCTTTACTGAATCTCTGGGCCCGCTATCCACCGGGCAGAGCATTGGTCTGGCAACCGTGCACTGCAAAATCTCGCTCCTCCATTTCCATGCTCTCAAATCTTCGAAAGCGTACGACCAGGAAACCGTGGCAAAATCTCTGTCCAAAGCTACTGCAGCACTGGGCATGCAGTTGAAAGGCAACACTAACGACTTGGACGAACTGCTTGTGGCAACCACGAAACTGAAGAAGCTAGCAATGGCTTGGTTTGGCGAGGCGATAACCGGAAAACACGAGGCGAAACTGCAGGATAGCCCCATCGCCTCTCGTATTTACGACTATCTCCCGGGATTTCTCAAATTCTTACGACGCTATCTCGGTCGTCAACCATCAGTGGACGAGGAGCCTAAGGAGTACGAGTTGTTCGCAAAACGAGTCAGTGGCTCGAGAAATATTGTTTTGGCTGCCGTGGATTCGACCGTCGCGGTTGGCAAGGTGTCGGTCATGTCGCAGCAACCTTCCTGGGAACACATGCTCCCAGCCCTCACCGACTGCCAGCGGCTTCTGGTGGCTGTGAACCTGTGCGAAGATGAGCAAATCGAATGTAGCGTTGTCGAGCAGATTGGCATGGGATTTGTCAAGTTGTCTAACGTCTTCTGGTCGAGATACATCAAAGAAAAAGAAAAGGGAAAGAGCTACCGGGAGCTTGTGCCCCTGCTGAAGCAGTCCGCCAATCTATTGTCAGGCTGCTCGACATCCCAAAGAAGCTCGGGATTTGCAGCTCTCAAGTTCGAGAGGCTGGCCCATGCATATCTAGAAGGGAATCTGACTTTGGAAGCAGGGCAGGCGTTTTTCCAGTCTATCCAAGAACATATCGCGACTGGAGCTTTGGATCAGACGATCGAAGAGACAGCGGGAAGTTTCCCACAACGATTCGGCCAGGATCCAACAAACATCGGCTTCATGCTTGGCCGTGTTCTTTCGATGTTCTTGAGAATGAGCTTACGGAGCAAGACGTCAAAATTACCAAACGTATTCGACGACGAGAGCCTGGACTCCTTGCAGAGAGGACATATCTTGGAGTGGCAGATGGGGATCCTGATGGAACTTCAAAGTCACGGTGGCGAAGTTTCTCGTTCTAAGCTTACTCCTCTGTTGACTACCCTTGTCGACGTATACTCGCCTGATGTACATCCGATCCGTCGTCGGCGGGTGATACTGAGCGCGCTTCGTTTCTCACTGGAACACCCCCACTCATTGGAACCCTCATTGCTACAGGAGCTTACGTTGGAAGTCTCCGACCACCAAGTCTTTGACGAACACCATGGCGATGACTCTGACTTAGCCTGCTACGTGACTTACCTCAAGAACTCGCTTTGCCTCACTTCGGGGCTTCGCCGGGGAGATTTGGGGCCAGAACAACTGGAGAACATCATATCGTCATGGCAAGGTATGATGCAGAATTGTCGTGATCGCAGTTCGCTTGATCTGTATGTCGGTGATGTAGACTACTGCCTCCTACAAATGAAGGCGGTGGTTGATTATACCGAGATTCACGGCCTGTGGAAACTCCAATTATCCGCGCTGGAGCTGGTACTGCGTATCACCGAACTTCAAGAAACGAAGGATTTCTCCGAAGGAATCGTCATTCTGTCACGCCTTGTGCTTCAGTACTGCCGACTAGGATATTGCAAACGGGCTTCCGGTCTCCTTTCACGTGCAGACCAATGTATTGCCAGCAATGAGGTTTCGTGTCTTGCGGTCTTGTCTTATAAACTGGCCCAAGTTTGCTATCTCCTCGAGACTGGGGATATCAGCAAGGCAGCCGATATCTTAGCAGCAGCGCAAGGCCTGTACGAAAAAAACCAGGGAAAGCAGGATCTCAGCAACTGCTCCGTGCTGTCCAAAGTAGCGTGGGAAAGGCTTGTCGCTGACGCAGCCTTTTTGAGCTCTCAACTGGCTTTCGCCCAAGGAATGATCAAAGACGCTCTATTCTTTGCCAAGCTGTCTGTGAGACTCAACTGCCGAATCTGGGCTAAGGTCGAAAAGATTGCCCAAAGAAAACAGGAACGGATTGCGCCGGCAAATGACAGCCCAGAGCTCGAGGTTGTCGTGGAGGGTATGGCAAAACTGGACGTCACCCAAAAGACCTCAACGAGTCCAGAGTCCTACTCTCAAGGAGCACCGTTTTGGCCTCACATTGGCTCCCACAACATCGCGCTGATGAACCTTGCAAGCCTCTCTGCGCACCACGGGCTGTTCCAGGATGCTATATACTACGGGGAGCAGGCACTGAAGATCAACCAGACTTTGAACGCAAATGTCCGTCTGATCGCTTCTCAAGCTCAACTCGGTTCTCATTGGATCTTCGGTGGCCACGTCAAAGAGGGGCAAGAGCTCCTGGCTGCTGCAGAGGGTCTTTCCAGGCAGCTCGAAAGTAGTGTCGAGTTGGTCTCTCTGCAGATGGGTCTTGCCTCCCTTCACCGGGCCCAGGGCAATCATGTCGACGAATTGAGTGCTTTGCAGGAGGCCGACAGGGTCATGAATGAGTTCGTAAAGTCCGAGACATCGGGGCCCGGCGTCTCCGACCTAGCAGAAAAATTGGATAACATGCGCATCCAAGAAACTACGAGACGAACAAGATCCACCACGACGACATCAAGACCTACCACAAGAAGGACTCGTGGCACCATGCAATCAGCGAAAACGGCACCCGTTGTGTCTCCAACCACCCCAAGCACGGAATCCGAATCTCTCTTGCATCTCAAGAGTGACATTCTCCGACAGCAGGCAGCTTGCTCGCGCTCGCTTCGAGATTTCGAAAGGGCTTCCTGTTTGTTGAACGATGCGCGGAAACTTGCTTCGTCGAGGGACACGCAAATATCGCTCAACATTGGAGAAAGTGAACACCTGTTAGCCGATGCTATACGTCATTTTGCTTCGCACTCTGTGTACTGCGTTCTTCCAGAGTCGACAATCTCCTTGCCGTCGTTAGAATCCCCTAAGCCCGGGAAGTCGAGCCAAGGTACTTCCTCGACCAGGGAAACTTCCACTCGCAGGACAAGGGCGCCGACCAAAGGATCGCGCTCAAGGACCCAGAAGGCAACAGAGGACTTTTCGGTCATGCTCTCTAAAGCCGGTGACTGTCTCAACAACGTTTTTCCCACAGCTACAGCTTTGGGCTCTACTCTCGATAGCCATGCAGCTTCCCGTTTGATGAGCCGTATTTCTATGCTATTCCATACTACGGCCGCAGATTGCACGCTGCCTTGGTCGCAATCTCCGGCAAACGTGAATGGTAAGATCCCAGTGTCCCCTTTGATGGTAATGAGATGTCTAACTCGACTAGAACTTGGCCGCATTGGAGCTTTTGCTCGAGAGCATGTCGCTATCGATATCGACAAGCAGTTGACCGACCATTGCGACCCGCTTGATTGGCCGACTAGCGGATCATCAGCAACAGATGGCGACTCTTTGTGTGCCGACCTCACCAAGGAATACGTTGACATTCTTCCGGAGAACTGGAACGTTCTGTCGCTCTCCCTAAGCGCAGACCGCACCGAGTTCGTGGTTTCGCGGCTGCACCAAGGCCGCACCCCGTTTCTCCTGCGCCTTCCGCTCAAGCGGGGCAACTCGGACGACGACGAAGAGCAGTTCACTTTCGAAGACGGGAGACAGGAGATGCAAGAACTCATACAGTTGGCGAACGAAAGCGCACACGCTGCCAAAGCCCAAATCGACCGCCAGTCAAAGAAGCAATGGTGGAAGAACCGGGAACAACTTGACCGTCGCATGGAGAATCTGCTACAGAACATCGAAACCGTGTGGTTTGGAGGCTTCCGAGGAATCTTCTCGCCCGTGCCGCATGACATAGCCCCTCTGGCACGGTTCGCAGATGCTTTCCACAATGTTCTCGACAAACACCTCCCTTCTCGCCAAAAGGGGGGCCGAGCGAGCAGCCCACGACTCACGCTGCATCCTAATGTGCTAGAGCTTTTCATCGGTGTGAAGGATCTGGAAGATCACGAAGATCCCGAGGATACCCTGATGGATCTCCTCTACTTCGTGGTCGACATCCTGCAGTTCCAGGGCGAGCGCAACGCGTATGATGAGATTGACTTCGACATGATGGTCGTTGAGACGCTAGATGCTCTGCGGGGGTACCACGAAGCTGTCCAGAACGAGGACGGAAAGCAAGCGCCCAACCACACCGTCTTGGTTCTCGATAAAGCACTTCATTTGTTCCCATGGGAATCTTTGCCCTGTCTCCAGGGATTTCCAGTCTGTCGCGTGCCATCACTGGAGTGTCTCCGAGACCGCGTCCTCCAGTTCCGGAACGAACGCATCACGAAAGGGGGCCAGGGTCTCCGTCTCAACCGCAACAAGGGGACCTACATCCTGAACCCCACGGGCGATCTCCAAACTACCCAGGGGCTCTTCGAAAAAGACTTATCTCGACTGGACTCCTGGACCGGCATCGTCAACCGACCACCCACAGAAGAAGAATTCCAAGACGGCCTCGAGTCAAAGGATCTCTTCCTCTATTTCGGTCACGGCAGCGGCGCGCAGTACATCAGAGGACGAACCGTCAAGCGACTGGACCGGTGCGCCGTAACTTTCCTCATGGGCTGTAGCAGCGGAGCCCTAACAGAAGCGGGCGAGTACGAGCCGTACGGGACGCCCATGAACTATCTGCACGCGGGAAGCGCCTCGTTGGTCGCTACCCTTTGGGACGTTACGGACAAGGACATCGACCGCTTCGCTAAGTCGACGTTTGAGCATTGGGGTTTGTTGGGTGGCTCTGATGCGGAGGCGAGCCAGGGAGGCCGACGGTCTGCGACACGAGAGGTGGCGTTAGATGAGGCTGTGTCGAGATCTCGGTCTGCTTGTGTGTTGAAGTATTTGAATGGGGCGGCGCCGGTGATTTATGGGATTCCGGCTGTGTTTTTGGAGTGATGTGATCTGTTGACTGTTGATTGACTTGGCGTTTGAGGAGGAAATGAACTTGGATGCATAAAGGCGTATTGGTTGTATTGATACGGGATGCTTGCATGGAATTGTGTACGGTGTTTACTTTGCTTTTAGTCTGGGAAGGAGTCATTACATTAGGTATTATCATCTAAATGATAGAGCTCTGATCACCAATACGGTTTAACACGCATTTATATATCGTCATGTCGAGTCGTAGCTATGAAGGGACAGAAATCGACTCATGAGAGGCATCATTATAAGACTTGTCGGGCTTCCAAGAATCTATCCTATATCCCTCTCAAATACTATATTGAAATAGCTTATCTACGATATTTCAAAGGGTATCCAACGAAGATGATCTATTGATAAGATAAGCAGGCATCAATCGAGTCTAAGGGTTAGAAAATATATGCGTCCCCCAAAGCGACTATACTCGGTTTAAACTTGACTGAATCTACAACTAAACCTCCTCGATATGACCTTCCAAGCCACCCTTTGACCACACAAATTAGAAGACAGTTAGTCTATCAAGTCTCATAGATATTCGAGACTATCTACCCTTAGTATCCGTGGAGGACTTCGATATTCTCACACCCTATCACAAAGCAAGCACCCTTCAATCCAAGGGCACGTAGCAAGCCAAGCAGACAGGGTGCCTAGGCCAATACATTCCTCATGTAACATCATGGGACTCGTAGTAGTACACCATGAGACTGGAATGTGGCATCAAGACAGCCTTACAGGTCACACAAGGGTGGTGGTGGTGGTGGTAGGCACTCAGATCTCCTGGCACTTATCCCTTGCGTCAGGGCTGCTGATGCATGAAGCCTCCTTGCAGGCGAATACTATATTCATGGATTGGTTGATATTGAACAATGTTTCTGGGAAAGACCAATATTGTAGTCATCTTTAGGAAGAATTCAGACAGGCGGGAGAATACCCACCTATGTATATTTATTTAACTCACTTGCGCGGGATCTTCATGCCGTGATTGTATCACTCAAGAACTGCACTTTCAGCCACATGAACAAAGATGAAATTGTTGAAACCAGTTCCAATCCTCCGGCTGACGGGGGTATGGGTGCTTGTTCGTATTTGTTTTCTCTCTCTTTCTTCTCCTATGAGGGGACATGCTAACAAGAACATGCTAATCATATTTTGAATATCACGCATAGGATAAGTCCCTCTCCGACGACATGGATCGTTTCGTCAAGCTAGTACGCAGGCCCTAAACCTCATTAGAAAATATACACATGAACACATACACGTATACATGAGAGCAAAGACTAAAAAAAAAAACTCCAGCAATCCCTAAACTGGTTCCTCCGCCAGGCCCTAAAACACATGACCATCACCTTCACAATCACCGAGTCGGCAACAGCAACAACCCCAGCGACAGAAGACAGTATACCGCCGTCCTCCCTCCAAGTAGACGTCGTGCACACAGCCACAGGCGGAATCACCGGCACCACGGAGAAGCGCACCCTCGACTGGAAGCCGCACGTTCACCACGACTACGTTTACAAAACGCTTACCGTCCGGAGCCGTCTGATTGCCGGCGAGATGGACAGCGATGGGCGGGTCCGGCCTGCTGTGCAACTACACGGTGCATACCGTGATAGAGGGCAGGTGCGTGAATTCCTCAACGGCAAGGTCTCTGCGGACGGCAAGGAGGGTGAAGGGTTCTTGGTCGAGGAGTCAGGGTGTGCTCCTCTTGAGGATGGTGCGGCCTTGGGCTGCTGGGTGCATACTGTTTCGTGTAGTGAGGAATCGGGGTGGATGGTGGAGCAGGTGAGTTTGTTGATATGGCTTCCTTGCTTGATTGTTGGATTGTGTATGAAGTGACTGAGGCTTACTATCCGGGTGAACTCGCTAGATATGGGGATTTGAGATGATCGACGGGGAACGCTACCATACGCGACGGGGTGTGGTCGCTGATCAACATGGTGATTTTGCTTTAGCGAGGGCGGTTTGTAGATGGCAGGGTCCAGTGGGCGTTACTGGTGAATGAGAATCCGACGGCAACGTTGCTTGAGAAGGAGCGGATGGGTACAGTAGATGATATATATATAATTAGGTGATACCGTGGGAATGGAGATATATTATACATGCACGGGGAAATGTTCAACAATGGCGGGGAAAGGTGCGCAAACTTCCTCAAGTTCAACAGTATTCCCAAGCTTCTATAGCTGTAAACGCACCGGCGGCATTCTATCCCGGCCCATGGCCAGTGCCAAGAGCGTCGCTAGAGCAGAGATCGCCACGACGAGCACATACACGTCTTTCAATCCAAGAAGATACGCACCCGACACGTGTGTCAGCGTCTGTGATCCGGAATCCCCGCCGACTAAAAGGCCCGCGGCAAGGATCTCGTCCGAGCCCAGCTCAATACCCGGTACTGAGGTAAACTGCTGCTTGACCCGGCTCAAGAAGATCGCCTGCCCGACTTGCATGAAGATAGACGCTCCCAGACATTTTGAGAAAAGCGTCGTTGCAGTCATGGTCGGCATGTCAGCGGGTGCAACAATCGCCTGATTGTAGATGATGGGGACTTGTAGACAGGTGCCGATTCCCAACCCGGCCAGAATCTGGTACGGGATCCAAAATCGAGACTGGGCGGCAAGGTCCAAGGTGTATAGCAGTCCGGCCCCAACGCAGATTAGGATGCCACCTAGCACCATGAACGGGGCGGGGTAGCCGGTGACACCGAGAAGGATGGCCCCGAAGATTGCCATCACCCCGGCGGAAATGACAAGCGGTAGGGTGCGGATCCCGGATTCGGCGGCCGAGACGCCTTCCACGGCCTGGAAGTAGATCGGGATGTAGTAGAGGAGGGTGAAGAAGGCGCCCGCAGCCAAAAAGATAAAGGCTAAACTGATGCTTAAGGTCTTTTCGAGGAAAAAACCCCGGGGCACCATGGCTCGGTCGTCTTGATAGATCTCGTTGGCGAGAAATAGGCCCGCCAGTAGGAGGAACCCGACCAGACATCCGATCACGTCTGGATGATCCCAGGACCGGCTGACGCCCCACTCAAGGGCTAGCAGAAAGCAGAGAAGCGACCCTGTGAGGAGGGCCACGCCGGCGGGGTCGAGCTGCAGAAGTGCCTCTTTCCAGGAAACCCTCGGGGGTGCCGCAGAGGACGGCGTGCGGAAGGCAAAGAGGACCAGAAGAAAGGACCACCCTCCCACCGGGAGATTGATCCAAAAGCACCATCGCCAGGAGAGGTGGCTGGTGAACGCGCCGCCGACGACGGGTCCCACGAAGCTTGCGAGTAGAAACGCAAGCCCGACGATTCCAATCAAGATCGGCCGTTTTCTGGGCGCGAAACATACGCCGATCATAGTGAAGATGCCTGAACCGATGCCGGAGCCACCGACACCAGCGATCGCTCTCCCAACGATCAAAGTGGGTGAGTTATGGGAGACCGCGCAGATCAGGCAGCCGACCTCAAACAAACCTAGGCTGACCAGATACACGAGCTTGAGGGGAAGGTATGCGTAGACTTTGCCCCACGGGGCCTGAGTGACGGCACTGCCCAGGAGGAACGAGGAGCCATACCATCCCACCTCTGCAGTGGATTTGAAATCATGCGTGATTTGAGGAACGGCGGTCGAGATGATGGTTGTGTCCAGAGAGACTAGGAACATGGTTACCGCCAGGGATAGTGTAATGGTGTGCAGGCGCAGACCACTCAGATACTCCTCCTCGGATGGAGGCCCGGGCGAATGACTGTCCGGCGTAATGTCTGTACATGTTACGCTTTCGACCTTGTTCTCCGACTGCGATGATAGGATGGCAGTGCGGCTTGAGCCTGGCATATCTTCGAGATGCATCATTACACTGGGCAATTGGTTAGCCTCTCAATGTTGACCAAGACGAAGATGGGTATGGTTGAATGGCCTCAGATGATCGTCCTGTAGGTAAGCGAATGAACCATATATACGAGGGAACACAAATGAGCAAGGATCACATTGGGGAGAGGAAGTTTTCACATGTTTCATCCAACCTGGAGGAAGATCTGTATTTTTCCACACCTCTCCTGAAATCAAAAGTCATCAAGGGCGGGGACGTTGACAAAAACAATTAAGTTACCCAAAAATGCTGGCGGTTACAAGCATCACCGCACCATTTCCGGTACATGACCTTGAAGCACAGTCGAAAGAGGTACTCCGCATGTCAAATAAAGTACCCATCGGACAGGTACTGTGCTGCTATAGATCGCGTTTCTGCACCTCGCACGCTCTTTATGATGCTCAGGAAGGCTCATGTTGCTACCACCGCCCTTGACCTTATCCAGATAATGGCGTGAGGTCAAAATGGATCGCAAGGAAGTGTTTGGAGACGAATGGACCCACAGGTTAGGAGCCCCTTGCGTCGGTCAGGCCAAGCCTGGAATCTCCAACAGCAAACAAAAAGAAAAAGCAAGAATAAAAGCGAGGGCATGGTGAGAAAATAAGGGATGTTTGCTGACCTCGACATGCACAGCTTGTAAGCACTATCTGGTTAGTAGTTGGCCCACAGTACACATTAGATTTGATGGTATACCAATCTGGATCCTACTGAACATGCTTGCAGCTGCATGAGAAATGCAGCATTGGTTGTATTGTGACTCTATTCTTTAAAACTCGTCTGAGAATGTAAGATTTCGAGAAAAAGGATTTTCGGTGTACTTTGTAAGTCATAGAAGCTGCACCTGTGGAGAAAGGGACGGATCAGATCTCATGTATGTATTCAGCCAGCCATACCCATGTATTGCGCTGGCGGTTTTGCTTTTTTGACCGTCAGTGGAAAAAATATGATCTCATGCTCAAGTGACCGGCGTGTAACAGCTGAAAAGAATTCGACATAACTCCAACCTCTCAGTCAACGGAAATACGATAATCTTGCAAAATGCCACACCCTTCCGATGTCGAAGTGGAAGTTCAGGCTTCCAACGCTGCTCAACTGGCTGGCGCCTACGCCTTTCGCCAGGTACGCGATGGCGATCACTGGTATGGCGAAATGAAATCCAACGCCACTATCACCTCCGAATACGTGTTCCTGGCCCAAGCCTTGGGCATAGACCTAAAACCAGACCAGGAGGACCTCACCAAGTATTTGCTATCCGAGCAGAATTCGGACGGATCCTGGAGTCTCGCGTTCGACTATCCCGGCGATGTCTCCACAACCACCGAGGCGTACTTCGCCCTGGCACTGCTCGGTGTGGATAAACAGAATCCAGCGATGTGCGCCGCTCGCGACTTCGTCCTGCAGAAAGGAGGGGTTGAGAAAGTGCGCGTGTTTACTCGCATGTTTTTGGCGGTTTTTGGGCTGTTTCCCTGGGCGGCCGTGCCCGAGCTGCCTGCAGAGTTGACCCTCCTACCCTCGTCCGCGCCTCTCAGCATATATAGGCTCGCGAGCTGGGCCCGAGGGACCGTGATCCCGATGCTGGTCATCCGGCACCACTGTCCAATATACGCGCTTCCGAACGGAAGATCTGAATGCAATGATTACTTGGACGAGCTCTGGGTCAACCCCGACGACAAGATGGTTCCATACGCGCCATCGCTGTCGACATTACTGCGGCGCAGAGACGTGACCGGTCTGGGATTCACGGTGGCCGATTACGTTCTGAAAGCCCTGAACGGCTTGCGATGGAGTCCCACTCGAAAGCCCGCCCTCCAGAAATGTGTCAGCTGGATCCTGGAGCGCCAGGAGCCTGAAGGCGATATGGGTGGCATCTTCCCCCCGCTGCACGCTGCAATGTTTGCCCTCACGCTGGAAGGGTACGGCCTCGAGTCCAGCCCAGTGCGCCGGGGGATTCATGCGCTGCAAAATACCTACGCCTGGAGAGACGGCAGTGGCTTGAGAATGCAAGGCTGCATCTCGCCAGTTTGGGACACCATCTTGATGACTACCGGACTAATTGACTCTGGCCTGCCGTATCAGAGCTCCTACACAACAAAATCAATGCAATTCCTCAAAGCAAGACAGCAGCTGGGACCGGAGGGCGACTGGCGGGTCTATAACCCGAAACTCGCACCTGGCGGATTCAGCTTCGAATACTTCAATTCGTGGTATCCAGATATTGATGACACCGCGGCAGCAGTTCTAGCCATGGTGAAGCAAGATCCTGCTTTGTCAGACATGTCCCCAATCCTCTCTGCCGTCCAGTGGATTCTGGGAATGCAAAACAGTGACGGCGGCTGGGGTGCATTTGACCTCAACAACAACTACTTGTTTTTGAATAAGATCCCATTCAGTGACATGGAAAGCTTCTGCGACCCTTCCACTGCCGACGTCACCGGCCGTGTCCTTGAATGTTTCGGATTACTGGTGCAGAAGGCCTCCACACGATCCGACCCTGATAAGCAGCCCGTTCCCCCAGAGCTCATAAGTAGAATGGAGGTCGCCACGAAGCGAGCTGTGAATTTCCTTTCCGACGAACAAAAACCAGACGGGCCCTGGTTTGGTCGCTGGGGGTCGAACTACATTTATGGCACCAGCACAGTCCTCTGCGCCTTGGTATACCATGTGGGGGATTGGAATTCAGATGAGTCTGGTACTGTGGCCCGCAAGAAATGCAGCAGCCGGGGAGTAAACATCCGCGCTGCCTTGAAATGGCTGCAATGGGCGCAAAACTCAGACGGGGGCTGGGGAGAGAGACTGGAGACCTATCGAGACCCCAGTCTAGCTGCGCAGGGCCCATCGACCGCGTCACAGACTGCTTGGGCGCTGATGGGCCTCCTGGCTTATCTGCCGGCTACTGATCCCTCCATTCGACGAGGTATCCAGTATCTTGCGCGAACGCAGATCAAAGAGGGCGATCGCTCGGGGTCTTGGAACGAACGCCACTATACTGGAACGGGGTTCCCCAACCATTTTTACCTCTGCTATACCCTTTACTCGCAATACTTCCCCATGATGGCCTTGGGGCGGTACTCGAGTCTCTGCGGTTTGCGCCCGCTTCAAAGCTCACATCTATGAAAGACGATCGGCGAGCTGTGTAAATAAGGGAAAGTGGGAAGATGGATGCCTAACTTACCCATCCCATGTTTACTCGAAAAACAAATCAACAAATATATTGTCGCAATAAGATTACTCACGGAGCGCAAAAGCGATGATGATACCTTCTGCAGCCGGGGATGGCAGAGTAGACGGGCAACGCTCGGCAATGACGGAGACGCGGAGTCACGTTAAAAAAGGCCCCTCATTCCCCTCATTCCCCTCATCGCCAACCAGCCGTAGTCATAATACAGAAGGATCCTCCCTCCGCCCGAATCGTCCATTTTTCTTTTTCTCTTCTTCTCCCCCACACACTCATCTCCCATTCAACATCTCAATATCTAATACAGCGACACTATGTCCGTCACAACGAAAGCCACAATCGCCTCCTTCGGCGGCAAATTGCTGAAACTCAGCCATGCCGCCAAGTCCACCAAGTGCGAGATGAACTTCAACCTCTACCTGCCGCCGCAGGCCGCGACGCAGAAGGTCCCTGTGTTGATCTATCTGTCTGGATTGACTTGTACAGCCGACAACTGCTCCGAGAAGGGCTTCTTCCAGCACGGTGCGAGCAAAAAGGGAATCGCAGTGCTGTACCCGGACACCAGCCCCAGTATGCGCCCATGATATCTACCTCGCGACGATTGCACGCGGACCCATACTAATACGAGATTCCACCTTTAGGGGGACTGGACATTCCCGGAGAGAATGATGCGTGGGATTTTGGTACCGGCGCCGGTTTCTACGTCAATGCTACCAAGGCGCCGTACGACAACGGATACAACATGTACAGCTACGTGACGGAGGAGTTGCCCCAGACTGTCTTTGCTGCTTTCTCGCAGCTGGATGCAAGCCGGGTTAGCATCACTGGTCACAGTATGGGCGGTCACGGTGCCCTGACTCTGGTATGTGTGCCGCATCGATATATGGGCCTTTCCGTCAGGTCGATGTTCGAACAGGAATTGGACTAACCGCCCCGGGAACAGTTCCTCCGTAACCCTGGCAAGTACAAGTCGGTATCCGCCTTTGCGCCAATCTCCAACCCCATCAACTGCCCCTGGGGCCAGAAGGCATTCTCCGGATATCTGGGAGACGATCAGCAGAAGTGGAAGGAGCACGATGCGACCGAGCTCATCAAGCAGTGGAAGGGCCCACTGGATGTGCTCATTGATGTGGTATGTCCTCCGCGATCTTGGTTTCATCTCGAGAGATAAACTGACAAGACCAGGGAACCGGCGACAACTTCTATAAGCAGGGCCAGCTTCTCCCCGAGAACCTGGAGAAGGCCGCCAAGGAGGCCGGCGTCGAGGGCGTCAAGGTCCGCTACCAGCCCGACTACGATCACAGCTACTTCACGATGGCGACCTTCTCGGACGACCACGTCGAGCATGCCGCCAAGTACCTCCTCCAATAGTGCGTTGCCGACCTTTCTTCTCCCTAGTTCTGCTGAATGCTGTCTCCTGTAATCTGCCTATATTGATGTCGTGTCTCTATCAAGAGGCAAAAGATTATATAACCCCCGCGAATCGCTTGTTGTGCGCATGTGTACTTTCTGTTGGCTTTTTCTGATAGTCGTTAAGCGATCGCCAGGCAAAATCAATGATATGAGGAATGAATGAATATAAGGAACCTTGAGGAAAAAATGCGTAGGTAGACGAGACACATTTCTCGTAGTCAGTATAAATATTAGCTCCATGCTAAACTGCTAATGCTATCAATCAGACGTTTTTCAAGAAGTATGTTCTCTCGAACAGGATATATGAACAAAAGGCGCCAGATCAGCCATTGTGTCACAAGTGATTCGCGCCGCGCTTTGTCTTGGGTGTCCAAAATAACGACGCGCAGAACAGGCTCATCTTAAACAAGGCTGTCTGCATACGACGTCATGGAATATGCATAGCGACAGGCCATTAAGGTAGCAGAACAGGGCAGGGAAAAAAGAGGCGTTAAGATGTAGGATTCTTGATTCGAAACAAATCGAACCGCCGGTATGCTTGGGACAGCACTTGCTGGTTCGGGTTTGTTTGCCACCGTTAAGATTTGGTTTGGATGCACGGGGGCGCGTCCAGGCAGTCTCCTCATGGGGTGTTTCTGAAGTCATCTTCGTCTTCATTGTTGAGATGCAAGTTTCATCTCAGATACCTGCTTTCCTACGCCACCCTCCCTGTCTAGAACCAGGACGAGGAGTCTGCACGCTCAATTTGCAGGAGACATGATCCACTCCACCCCTGTGGCCTATGAAGTTGAACCGCAGCGATCGAGGGATTGTTGTTGTTCAATCAGCCCTTTGGGCAGGGTGTGACGTCAACATGCCGTTAACCGTTATGACACCCATGGCTTGGCAGCTGATGATGACACCAGGAAGTTAGTATTCGTCCCAGTCTTTGTCCTTTCTTTTACTTTTGTGTCCAAGACTATATATAGTTTCTAGTGACCAGAGGCAATCAATCTATTTCTGCGAAGAATGCCGCTCGCGCGGTTTGTGATGAACCTTTTCCTATTCATATAAAAACACACGTTAGTTGCAATTACCTCAACATACCAAGTACATAACGTAGAAGACAACTCACAGCCATGGCTACGACGACCGACTCAGAACACCATCGCGACCTGATCCTCGTCTCCAACCGACTGCCGCTGTCCGTGTCCAAAGAAAATGGAACCTACAAGACCAGCCTGTCCAGCGGGGGCTTGGTCACTGCGCTCTCGGGGCTCTCCAAATCCATGAATTTCCGGTGGATCGGGTGGCCTGGGATCAGCATTAAGGACGAGGAGGAGCAGAAGCAGGCGTCGCAATCGCTGGCAGAGAACGGTGCCATGGGGATCTTTCTCGATGCGCAGTTGGCTCATGATCATTACAATGGGTTCTCGAGTATGTCTCCATATGAGGCCAAGGGACTAAATGGAGGATGGATAGATGGATGAATACATACTGACAGGCCACAGACTCCATCCTCTGGCCAATCATGCACTATCAATCCGGGATAAACTTCAACGAAGAAGCCTGGACAGCCTACCAGCGCGTCAACGAGATCTTCGCCGATACAGTCGCCGCAGAAGCGAAACCCAACGACTTGATCTGGATCCACGACTATCACCTGCTGCTACTGCCGTCGCTGCTGCGCGAGCGTCTCGAAAAGCAGGGCAAACGCTGCGCAATCGGGTTCAGCCTGCACACACCGTTCCCAGCGGAAGACTTCTGGAGGGGTCTTCCTGTGCATGCGGACTTGCTCCGCGGCGTGCTGGCGAGTGATGTGATTGGGTTCCATACTTGCGAGTATCGGAGGAATTTTGTCGGGGGGTGTGCGCGTAGCATGTACGTTTCCTAACCCCATTTTCCTACCTATCCGTCCTGCGGCAAGATCTGGCCCATCTGACAAGTTTGAGCACAGAGGCGCCACAGTAAAAGGCGAAGACCACGTCACATACGCCGGGCACGACACCTACGTGGGAACATTCATCGTGGGCATCGACCCTCAGAAATTCAGCGACTCGCGACTCGACCCGTGTGTACAAAAGCGGATCAAGACCCTCGAAGAAGAATACAAGGGCAAGACGGTCATTGTCGGGGTGGACAGACTGGACCACACGAAAGGACTGGTGCAGAAACTGGAAGGTTACGGGGGCTTCCTGAAGCAACACCCCGAGCTAAGCAACAAAGTCACTCTGATCCAGGTGGCCATCCCGAGTCGCGAAGATGTCAAGGAGTATCAGAATCTTGCGGACGAGGTGAATACTCTTGTGGGGAGGATCGATGGGACGTATGGTGGGTTCACCAGTACTCTTTTTGGGTAGTATGCTCTAGTGAGGAATGTGCAGGCTAAACAATGAATAGCAACCCCCGACGGTACACCCCTCGTCTACATGCACCGCTCCGTCTCGTTCACAGAATTGACAGCTCTGTACTGCATTGCGGATATCTGCCTGCTGACCTCCCACCGAGACGGCATGAACCTCGTGGCGTCGGAGTACGTCGCATGCCAGGAAGACCGACACGGCGTGCTGGTCTTGTCGGAGCTGGCGGGGGCGGCGGCGTTCATGAAGACCGGGGGCATCATCTTCCATCCGTCGCGCGTGCGGGAGATGTCGGACGCGATCTATCAGGCCGTTACGATGGATGCAGAAGAGCGGGAGAGAAGACATAAGCAGTTGATTGAGTTTGTCACCACGCATACGAGGTGAGCTTCGTCCTGTCTCCCAGGCCTGTTTTCGTCCTGGCGGAGAGAAAGGTATAGCTAACTCGATACAGTGCGAAATGGGGAGAGAGTTTCATCTGCGCGCTGGAGGAGCATGGTCAGTGTTAAAATCACTTTTGAATTGTTTATTGCATGGAGTTCGGTATCAAGCGCGTTTTCATAGCAGCCTCGTTAACAATCTGCATATCGGAAATCTATATTATTTTCACCATTGGCATAGGTATCATATCCAGTAGAATCCATAACACATAACATCCCAAACCATCTTCTATTTCCTCTTTTTACCCCATTCGAGGAACTAATAATCCTCCGAATCATCACTGAACCCACCGTCGGCGAAACCCGCCGCCTCAGCCAGGTCCAAATCTTCCATCTCCTCGTCCTCCTCATCGTCCTCGAAATCACCGTCTTCATCCGCGCCCATCTCATCGAACATCTCCTGGAACAGCTTCCTCATCGACTCCTCATGCCCATCCTTCAGCGCCATGCGTTCCAACAGCGCCTCCTTCGGCTTCCACATCGCATACCCCGCAATCTCCTCATCATCCTCCTCCTCACCATCCTTCTCCTCAATCGAAAGCGTATCAAAGAACGCATCAGACAACGTATTCGAGAAATAAGCCATCAACAGCGTCCCAACGCCCATAACATACTCCGCGGACAGCGACACAGCGCTCTCATCACGGTCCAACCTCCTCGCCAAAGCAACCGCATCGCCAGCCTTCAACAAATCCACAAAGTCCTCCGTCGGCAGCGGCGCCTCGCCCGCACCGAACTGCACCAACGCAAGCGTCTCATCCCAATCCACCGTATGGCGCTCACACAGCAGCGCAAGCAGCAAGCTCCAAGGACATTCATTCAGCAGCGCGCCGCCATTCCCCCACTCACCAGCCAACACACGCGCAAACGTCTCGCGCTCGCCCTGCAGACGCGTCCAGAACGCCTTCCAGAACGCCCCATGCCACGGGTCCGCCGTGCTCGCGCTGGGATGTGCCCGCGCATCGGCCTTCACCTCCTCCGGGAGGAAGCGCTCGTACCGCGTGAACGTCCACATGTTGTACAGGGCGTCGAGCTCCTCGCCGAGCTTGGCCTTGGTCGCGAGATCGAACGACAGCGTCGCGGTGGAGAGGTGTGCAGCTTCGAAGTCGCTGGCTTGAGAGGTGGCGGAGGCTTGTGCGGAGGCATCGCTGGTTCCGGTGGCTTTTTGCTCCCGTGCGAGGTCAACGAGTGTCTCGCAGGCGTCTTTGTAGCTGTAGAGGGCTTCGCGGGCGGGCTCGGAGGGGTTGAAGTGCGGGTTTGCTGTTAAGGAGTCGACGAAGCTGATTCTTTCTTTGATTTGTTTGATGTTGGCGGTCGGGAGCGGGGTGAAGCCGTGGGGGGCGGCGAGGTAACGGAGGGGATCCATTTTTTTGTGTGGTTGGAAGTGATTCCTGTCTTTTCTCTCTGGATGACTTTTCTGGTCTGTCTTCTTGGAGGTATGTAGATGAAGACGGGATGATAAAGAGAAGTGATGAGGGGTGGAGGGGTATGTCTACTCCGTCCAAAGAGTTGAAGAATTAATTTTTATCAGTGGAGTGAGGAAATCTCTTCCCGGAAATTTTGTCTAATCAGAGCGGACTCTATTAATTGGTGTTTTAATTAACACGGCAGGGTCGAATAAGGAGGCGTTGATCGTCATTTAGCGTGTTGGGTGTGGTGATCCGTTCTTGGCGGTGTGTTCATATTTAGAATCTATGAGCTGCACATAGTCCATAGACATGGCAGATGTTGGTAGATTTATTAGGATATTTATGGATCTATCTGGGTTGCTGGCCTTTCGTGGTCAATTATAATGCCGATAGTAAACCTCGTGGGAAACTGTCGCCTATCTGCACCTGTCATGGCAAGCCCTACGTTGGCCCAAACGCCTTCTGCACCGATCCGTACCTATACCAGTTAGCCATTATCCACCATAGTCTCGGAGAAAACTTACCCCTGCGTGCACTGACTACCCAACGCCATACTTCCGCTCCGCATGTAGCAGATCTTAGCAGCCCGGCACTCAGCGGTCGTACACTCTGGGCTCTTCACACTCGACTTGCCCTGCAGCGTGTTGTGCAGGGAGACCAGCTCCCCGTCCTTCTCCATCGCCTCCGTCACGCGGTGCCAGAACGTCGCGTTCAGCGGGGCGTCTGCGTCCCATTTCGCGTGCGCCCCGTACGTATCCCGCGTGGAGTACTCGAAGCGGAACACGGGCCCCGTGTCTGACAGGGACGAAAAGTCGGACACGTTGCTGAAGAAGGTGTACGCCTCGTAGATCTCGAAGTTGCCCGTGTCGACCTCGTACATGCGGAACCCGCTGTTCAGGTTCTCCAGCGGTGTGATGCTGGGTCCGATCCACCCGGTGGTGAGTGCCGTGTCGGCCGTCTGCGAGGTGCCGTTGTTGGCGTAGTAGACCATGAACTGGTCTTCATGGCTGTGGCCGAAAAAGACGTTTGCGATGACGTGTGGCGAGTAGCGGTCGATGATCTGGTAGAAGAGGTCGGAGGGACTGGCGTGGAGGCTTGAACCGTCCCAGCCGCTTAGAACGTGGCCGATGATCCATACGCGCTCTCCATTGTCTTCTGCTTGTTGGAGCTCGTCGATCATCCAGGCGAAGACGCCCGAGTGGTCCGGATCGGCTGTGTTGATCAAATTGAGGTAGTTGTTCTTGTACCAGAAGTCTATCCTTTGTCAGTTTCAATCCTTCGGCAGCTTTGGGGTCTGCGGAGCATACCTGTGTTCCATGAGATAATGCGTAGTCCTTGTGGGGTTTTGGTGGAATAGCCTCCATAGTGCGTGCGGGCTTCGTCAGCCGCTTCCCCGTTCAGCCATCCTTCATGCTGCCACAGTCCAGCAACGTGGTCGTAGTGCCAGCTCTGTTGCTCACCCAGTGGTCCCGGCATCTTATGTGGAGAATCAATATTCTCGGGACTCGTGTCGTGATTGCCCAGAGCGGCAAACATCGGCCCCGAGATGTACGATTTCATCATCCTGAAGATACTGGTCTCGGTATACTGGACATATTCGCGATCGATCTGGCCGATGGGGCTGTCGTGCGACACCATATCTCCCGTGTATATCGAAAAGCCAAACCCCTCCTTACTCTTCCGTGTGCCCGTCAAAGGGCCGATTGCTTCCAGCGCAGCCAGCCCAAGATCATACGGCGTATCGCACAGGAATTCCCCGTACGGCGAAGCAGGGAGGACAACCTGGTTCGGCGAAACCTCGTTGTGCAAATTGGTGCGGCAGCACATTCCCGATTCCGATGAGCAGTCTGCCTCGGAGCCCACTGAATACCGCGGGTCCAGGTGGATATCGGATAGATGCAGCACCTTGACACGCTTGCCGCTAGCCGACGGAATGCGCGGATTCGCGGGTTTGGGTTTCGGGAACAGCTTGGTTGTGTCCAGCGGACTGGTCGAGGGTCGGGCACAGAAGGTTTTGTTCAAAGTATGACAGATGTAGTTACCGTCCAGGCTGTTCACATCGGCAAGGGACAGCACCTGGGTCCAGACGGCCCCAAACGCTGCTGGTGCATAATCCTCCTCACATTTGTCCTTCGATTCAAAATTCAACTCCGTGCACAGCGAGACCATGGCATTTGGGACTAGCAGTGGCGCGTACCAAGCAGCTGGCTGCGCGGCCGCCAGAGCTTCTCTGCATGTCCCGCAACTACTTGCTGCGGCGTCTGCATGGATGATACGGGTCACATTAGCTTTCACATCTTTAATCAATGCTTGCTGTTCCTGGTCTGTCAGATTGGCACGTGGCTCTGGGAACACGACAGGATTATGGTTCTTCGTCGGTATTGCATCAGGGTCTGTCAGGCTGAATGGGTATGTCTTGTGGAGCACGGGGTCGTCAATGATGGGCTGTGGCTCCTGAGTTGGCCGTGTGGGCAAGACATAGTAGGAGCTGGTCGCCTTTTAGTAACTTCGATCACCTGAGACAACGTTGGGGGCGCTTACGAAAAAATGGAGGTAGGAAATCCCGGGGGCGCAACGAACGAAGCCTCTCCCGGAAAAGGTGAAGCTATTGTGGAATTGGCAGCCACCAGACTCAGGCCGCCAAGAAGCAATTGTGCCTTCATAATGCGGGGTCCTGAGGCACCCATGGTTTCCCGTCCGAGACTGACAGATTGGCGTAAAGCTCGACAGTTGAGGAATAAAACGTGTTATGTAGGGGTTTTAGCAGTCCCCAGGTCTTGGTCAAACATGTGCTAATGCCAACATGACAGATTAGGTTACTTTTCTCCGATTTTGGATTGAATTTTGCCAGGGACGCAGTTATTTATTCCTCCAGGAACAAACAGCCGTCCCTCACCAGAAACTTTGGTTGTTGACGGGACGGGCTTCCCAACCCTAAACGGGTTTAGTGATGCGGATACTGGCGCCCTGCACGTGGGAGGATCCATTGGGAGGAACAGTGCCTGGGGATATCCCGCTCGTCCTTCCATGTTTTATAATAGGAGTTAATAATGGTTACATTCATAATGGTACTTATTGTTATTGAATGTCGTAATGAGAGATCTGGTTTGGTTAAGCTCAAGTACTAAACTGAGAACAGCCATGACAATGTGCTTTTCAACCAAGTCTCTCCTATTTCGTGCTTTAAAACTTCCCCTTAATAATGATCACCAGATACCGCGTCCTAATAGGCTGGCCAAGATCTCATTCCAGTATGATCGAATCAAAGTTCCACCAACATATCAATGGCGGAGAGAGGAATGGTCAGGCTTAAGCAGTGCCTTTCTCTTGGCCTCCCTTGGTCTTCTTAGAAGGAGCCCCGGGGGTGCCATTGTCTTTTCCAGACTTGCGCTTGCTGGGGGTACTAGGCTTGGGAGAGGTAGCGGCATCGTCATTGGCAGCACCATTCTGTTCCTCTACTTGCTTTCTAAGCTTGTCGATCTGCTGCTGGACAGCACGCACGGAGCATTCTCCTGGAATATTAGCGGGGGTGTTTTTGCACCGACTGTGACAGAGTGTACCGGGTCCCATGTATTCAGACAGCTCTTTGTAGTCCAGCTTCAGCTTGAGATTTTTGAGTTGGCTCAAGACGCCAAGGAAGAGCTGTCAGGAGGTAGTTAGCGATGTATGAACGCGCTTTGGAGTAAGCGACGTTTGAATATCGATGACAGGCCGGTAGCTATGTTATCGGTACGCACCTTGGCGTTGGTGTCTCCGTTCCAAGTCATAGGCATGATGATGGTGTGTGGTGTTTAGATAAATGGAAATGGAGAATTTTGGCAATAAGTTGGATTTTGGTATGTGAGTGGGCTACCTTCGAAAGTACCAGATCATGAGAAGGTCAAGTGGAAAGATTCAAGATGATGGAAAAGATCTGTTCGAAAGGTAAACATGGATTTTATGGATTCTCGGCGACACCGTGGGGTCTCGGCGTGCACGATAACAGAGTAATACTTTTCACTGTCTGTGCAGCTGGCACTTCAGTTCACAGTTGTATGTTTACCATTTGCGTATGTGAAAGGATGATCAATCCATGCCTGTAATAAGCACAAATATTCCTCACTGAGAAGCGACGATCAATCTACTCAATGATCGCTTTCGAGGGATATTCTTGCATATTATGAACAAGATGGAGGTGGCTGATAGATATCTTATCTGGAGATATTGACCAGAAGAATCTATGCTCACTATAAGTGAATATTCCATAGATAATTATTTGTCTGAGAACTAACCTGAATACATTGCTCCTAGAAGGAACATAGTTCGTGGGAAGTGTTCCTCAGTCTTCTCTCAGTCCCCCCTTCGCTTGGAAAAATTCAAAAGTTTGATACAACATGATAACTGTCAACACCATGCGTCACTTTGGTGGTTTTTCTTTTGGCATAAGAAGTCGGTAGTATGTCCACTTGAGACGGGAGAACAGTGACTATCATTTTACTAAACGATAATAAAACCCCGAACCACCTGGAATCACACCTTGGATTCCCAGGATATCGCCGTTGTTGGAGGTAGCGAGATGGAAGACACGTTGGTGTTTAAATTGAGATTGGCACACCGGGAAAAGAAATGGATGTGAGAAAAGACACTATGAATCGATGTACCAAGGTTAGCATGTATCCGCCTGTCCCTCTCCTATATGCGCGACAATGTCAAGCTGGGCGTTCTATTGGTGGTTGATCTCTGCTACATGCCCACAGGTGTGAATTACTGACAATATCAAATACAAAACACTTATATCCAGATACACCGTGATTGATAGTGTGATGTACTACAAGTTTTTAATATAATTCGATCCTGTTCCCGGCTCAGACACAATCCGGACCTTGACGTATTGAGTTTAGATAGGGATGCAAAGCCCGGCTGAACCATCTTATAATTTGAGCATTAAGGTGTTCAATACTCGGTGCTGCTGGCACTGAAATCGATATCATGGAAGTATTTCTCTCTTGTGTCTGAGGCTCAGAGGCCAACTACTATAAAAAGTGAGATCCAGGCTTTATATGATCGTCCAGATGATCGTGTAATCGTGGTAGACACTTTGGTCATGGTCAATGTCGCATTGAGTCATTTTTGCAAGTCAAGTTCATGGATGTTTTCATGTGTCGTAGAAAGAATTGGTCTAGCCTAGATAAGACGTTGAGCCCAGAGAAAAATAGAGTTATTCGCGTCAGAGAACCCGTCGAATACAAATTGACCTGGGAATCAAGAGGATTGGCGGAGTCATCAGTAACCCACTTGTGGGTTGAAAAATCAAGGTAGTAATGTGCCTTGACCTTTCTCTTTTCATCCATCAAGACGCTCTCATTGACAAGTATATCGAGTCTTATGTACCCACCAGGAAGTCTGGTCGCCCAACTGAGGGGCTAAATCTAGGGTCGACGAGGGACAAGAGCCATCCGACACCTGAGACAAGTGGATACTTGCATACGTTCAATGATTAAGTGGTCTGAACCTCTCGAGATGTAAACCATTCAAGTTTGAGGCGATCCATGGTCGAGAATGAGATGTCGATCCAACGAAAAGCGGGGACGCTGCAGGGCTGCCGTTGCAATGAACGCGGTTGTTGGCTCCTGGTGACGGCATCAGTGTTTCAAGCCGGATCGAGGCGGAAGCGCTCGGTGGGTAGGACTCAATGGGACGGATAGAGCAGGGGAATAGGCAATGCTGTGTCCGTTGGTAAAATATTTGAATCCTAGGTACAGGTGGATGCAGGTACAGATTCTCGCTATCTCGGCCACCAGTGATATTGGAATGAGCCTAGTATCAGTTCTACTTATCCAGCGATCGACGATAAGGATTTGGCGGTTATTCAATATTCAGAAAAAAAGGGATTAGAACACTAGCAGTAATTCTAGCCAAGCCCGTGTCATTCTGCAGACTCGAAAGATTCTGGGTCGACTGCAGGAGTGGTGGGCTCTTGTGCGGGTGGTGAGTGGTGATCTCACGAGTCCCGCACCGACGCATGACGTAGCAAATCAACTACCCACTTCAACACCATCCGTCATCATCGGGCTCCGGCCATTCCGTGCTTCAAATATACCTCCATTCGCCTATCCTTTTCTTTCGCCGGCTTATAATTCCGGTCTTTCTCTCTTCCTCCTTCTTAATTCCTATCGTTGGTGATCTATCCCCTTGACAGCAACAGCTCCTGGTTTACCACCCCTTGTTAGCCCACGACACACAAGTCTATCGTTACAGCAAACCCGCTGAATAATTCACCATGGGTATGAGAGGGATTCAGCTCGGCCTGCGGCTGTGGCAGGTATGCTTCTATCCGCGATCATGGATCTCTGCGAAACCACATATCGCGACATAACGGGGTGAGGAATGATCGAAGACTAACACGGTGCAGTTCATTTGGACCTTGCTCGTCATGGCCCTCATTGGTAACATGCTGAACGAATCCTTCGCGGGAGACCCCGCGACGGTCAACTACTGCATGTTCGTGTCGGCGTGGTCGATGTTCACGCTATTCTACCTGGTCCCGGCGTCATTCAATCTTGACTGGGCTTTGTCGCCTATCCTCATGGTCGCGATTGATTTGCTCAACGCGCTCTTCTTCCTTACAGCGGGTATTGCATTGGCATCTCGGCTGGAAGCTCACAGCTGCAGCAACGAAGTGCGTTCTTTCTTACTCCCTATACTCTTGACATCCGACCCGGGCGGGAAAAGAGAGCAGATCGTCTTCAGATCTCTAGACCCACACAGACCCACTTGCTAACTATTGTCGATCATATAGGAATACACCCTCCACAACGAGATCACCAATGGCTCCTACAGCCGTCAGAAGCGCTGCCGTGAGGCCCAGGCCTCTACTGCATTCCTGTGGTTCGCATGGGCTGGATATACTGCCTCCTTCATCATGTCGTTCCTCATGGCCCGTCGGTCCAACGTCAACATGCGCGGCCGCACTGGCCCTGCCCGCGGCAGCGTTGGCCGCCCCAGCATGGCCCAGGTGTAAATTTGGTATCGTCCAGATAAATTGTGAGTTTGGTGCTGCAGCTTTGAAGGGGGACCAATTGAACTAATAAAACTCGTAAGGCTCAGAATATAGCACAATTCCTCCTGCACAGAGATTCTGAGAACAGGAATGCAGAATGCACCTAGTGGATAGCGTTGCAAGAAGAGTTACGATACCAAGTTTAATTAATCGTGTTCGGCGTCACGGTTGGGGATCATATGCACTCCCCTCCTTAATATTTACGCCTATTGTTTGGGGTTTATGCCAAGTATAATAGCCAACCCTCTCGGTGGCTTATTGGGTCTTATTGGATAATTAATAATTTTGATGTGGGAGTTTAGGAGGTAGCCTGGTTTGGGCGTCAAAATACACATGGGATGATGGTGTCGACAAGGTTCGACAGGGAAGGGATAGGTGGTCAATGGATGAGTTGTGATCTGTTTTTTTTTCTTTTGCTGAATCACGTTGAACATTGTGTAATACTAGGTAAATCGAGGAGGTTCGCGATCTTTGCTTGTTCTGTGATCTGTCATATCACAAAGCCCGAATATATTTGCCTGAGGTATTGATTGAAAAGTGCAACTAAGGACTAGAATCTACTACTTCCTACAAATTATGGGAGGCCCGATAAAATGGTCAATAGAAAAATGATATCGGTGACTACAAAGGATTGCGAATAGTTGCAAGATTACTGAAACAAGAAGCGCTAAAATAACCATTCATGGGGGAAATCACCACAAGTCAGCTGACGTGTCGGCCAATTGCATGGTTCACAATTTCCCAAGCATAAATAGTGCTGTCCCTGGTCACTGATCTGTTTGTCTAATGCAGGACAGAATCTTCTTCCCCTATACAACATTCTGACTACCAGCCTCCCTTCTTCACCTAATCGTCATTCCCTCACGTTCTATATGATGCTTGCTTCAAATGTCAGCTCCAACTCCTTTGTTACTGCAGGTAAACTTCGAATCTTCACAAACGGCCCTGTGTCTTAAACGATTCCGTTCGATAATGAGTAGCAGTGTGCTACAACCAATCTAAGGTGGGTTCTGGTTACAATGACAGAAATGATTTACACTACTATAATACTCTTGACTCATGAACAGCATAAATAGCATTTACAAAAACTATGAAATGGTTATATGTACCAACACCCTACTCTATATACAGCCCACCCGTGTGTGCCTCACAGGTCTCATTTGAAATCAGCCATTTGGGGCCGCACCGTCACCATCCACGTCTTGCGGACTGCCTCGTTTGCCTTTCCAAAATATCTTCCAGAACGGAAACTGTGCCAAAATTAGCTCCAACATGGCTGAAACCAACGATCGACTATCTTACCTCCAGTTCAAATTGGCCTTGACGACATTGACAACTCCGAGGATGTACTCCTGGACTTCGTAATCGATTTCCTCACCCCAGCTCGGTAATTCTGCCAGGGCAAGGTACCAATCACGATAGCGAGAGACAAGCATGTTACCAACGTGGTTGAACGCCTTCTGTGCCGACATGCCAGAGCTCCGGCATGTGGCTACCATGTTATGGTTGACACCCTCTTTCTGCGATTTTGTCAGTATTGAAGCCAGAAACTCATTATGAATGGTGCTCAAGACATACCTCTTCCTTGCAGTACGAGAGGATATCGTTTTGCCTGTGATCCGTGAGAAGTTGTTCATCTGATGGAGGGGCTGAGGTACTGACAGCAACACCAGATCAATTCCGATCCGTTCAATTTCCTTGATACTCCTCGCCTCGAATACACAGTCTGGAAGGTTCAACTTGTGGGCATACCTGGGGAAATTGTCAGCAATTTCCACCCATTCAGGTCATTTCTCAACATACTCCACTAGAGCAAAGAGAGGCGAGACTCCGGCAGACTGCCTTCTCATGGCAAGCATCTCTTCCAGCGAAGGGGACTTTCCGGTGGAACAAGCACGGACTTGCTCAACGCTTCCATTGCAGTAGTCGGTCATTGTCTTTGCGAATCTGCGTCGGACCCCTGCTCCTGATCAGCTTGCATTCAAGACGACTTTTGGTAGAAGTGGGATCAACGCCTACCTGCAGGAGAGGATGCTGCGATGCGGTCCCATACTGAGTTATGCACCCGGACGAGGGAATCCTCTTCATAGTGTGACTGTCCCTTGTCCTCTGCCATCCCTGCCAGCAATCTGTCCACCAACTCTTGAGCACGCTCCGGGTCATCTTTCAGGCCCCCATTGTCAAATTCTTCGGCATATTGTTAGCAAAGGCGTATGCACTCGATCAGATTATACATACGATCATCAAATGGGAAAACCTGCATATAGAAGTCAACGTTAGCACACCAAAACCTTAACCATCACGTTGCAACAACGGCACGTACCCAGTTACCCCAGTCAACCACTGTTCGGAGCTCTTCTGGTGATGCGTGGGGGACTGCAATGGAGCAGAAATAGGCAAAGTCTGTCTTCTTCAAGACCCTTTCGGTTCGTTCGTCAAAAGAGCACACACTAATGGACATGAAAGTTAGTTATGTCCTGCGACAGCTATGGTCTGGTGTACAGAAGCTTACTTGCAGATCCAGGTCTCACTTTCCCGTCTCATAATTTCATAATGTGGGTTGACTTTCGGGGCTCCAGACAGAAAGAGCACAAACATGTCTGGAAGGTGCACAGGAATAGAGGTATTTTGGCGTCCCAATTTTGTACGAGGCCGGACCATCGGCTGAACAAGTTGAGTGATTGCCATGATTGACTGGTATGTGTAAAATTAAAAGGCACTGGCGGTCTTTGGACAAAACTCGAGCGGTTAAGAAGAGAGCGAAGTTTGGTTTGAAAGACTTATGTCTGATGATGTCTCAAACTTCGAACGATTGGATACGACCTTTTATAATATTTCTACACCTATTCAGCCCCCGGCCTGATCTTGGGGCTTGGTGTGCGATTACATCGTCATCCATATCTAGATACTTCTCGGTCGTCTTCGGTGATACAGCGTGACCCACGACAATACCGGATTGATAAACTAGATCAATCTTTTTGTCTTGGTTTTTTGAGCGGCTGAAAAAAAGATCGGGCAATTCGAAAAACGCCACAGCATTGGTCATCGTCAGGTCGGACAATTTTCAACATAATATGCACCGGATGAGCACACGAGGTTTGCATATCTCCCCATTGTCAAGTTGCGTCATGACGGCTGTGGCGCAGGGGCTGAATCTTGTGAACTATTGATATTCATTCGGTTCAATGAGGAAGGTGACTACGAAAATCCCTTCCCTGAGCCACGCGGACGCCCCATATACACGGATGTCAAGTGGGGCCGAAAATGACCAGTATGTGCTGCCTTGAGATCCTAGCGTGAGATCTAGGGCGTCCCGAGATCTCGCTTCAGCTCGCATAACTAGTACTCATCGCGTGGATTTCTTGGCTGGTTCCTCCGAGGAGAGAAAAGTGGACGCGCTTAGCGCAGTGATGTGAGACTGATCCACGCCTGCAAGCCGAAGATCGATTCCAACCCCACCTTGCATCAGGAAACATCGAAGGAATCGCTCTCCAGTTTCCCAAGTGAAAGATCTACGGGTCTGTGCAAACCCTCACTAGCTTGCTGTGATGATGTATCGATCTACCGCATATTGCCAACCTCTCCCGAACATCCCCGCAACCATTGGTCATTTAATCAAAATAGTAAATGCCTTTGGTAGCATGTGGCGCGGAAAGTTTGGGATGCAGCCTCGGAAATCCGGCAGTGCATCCGTACAGAGTCATTGTCCAGCTAGTGCCATCCGATTTGAGAAATCAGGGTGAGCTGAAAATGAGGTCAGGGCAAAGAATTTGCAAATCCCGGGTGAACAAGGATGTCTGATAATCTGTTGGATGGATTGGAGGCCCTAAGTCCCTCGTATCGCCGAGAGATGGCATGTCTTGTTCTCTTGAGTCAGAAGTATATAATGGGAGTCATGGCCGCAGGTGGCCTTATCTGATCATGTTCGAAGTTCCTTGAAAAACGACAGTTCAGTGGTCATTTCACCTACTTCAGTCTTACTACGGCGTTTGAAACATGGAGGCTGTTCCATACCATCCACAAACAGGGGAGAAGATCAGTGCCTGGGGGTACTCATTTACCTGGAGCGATGACCACCTCCCGAGGAAGGAAACTGAGCCGCTGCGTCAGCAACATGATACGCTGGGAGCTGAGGCGCTGAAGAGGCTCCAAACCATACAAGCATCCTTCATGGAAGACAGCAAGGCTAAGGGAATCCCCCCTTCGCCTGTTGATCTCTACGCCCTTCTCCGGGATCACCGCCAGAACGATGATGTCCTCTCCCAGTTCTGGGAGGAGACGCATACAGTTCCTGACTGGGTGGACTGGGAGCAGCTTGCGCGTGCGCAGAAATTCTTCTACCGATATGCCATAGCAAACATTGTTGGGTTCGCGTTACAAGGATTTGTCGCGGAAAATTCGGTAAAGATTCCTCCCTGGTGTGGTCTCGAAATAGCACTAACCCTGGAACAGGCCTCGCCAGGCGTTGTCGAGGTACTCGTGCGAACCGGTGGCTTCTCGACGAGGGCCCTCCTAGGACGCCTGTTGGAGACATTCCAATGGCTGATTCAGGTCACGAAGGATCTAGCGGCGATTCAGCCCGGAGGCGAAGGGCATGTCGCAACGATCCGTGTGAGGCTGCTCCACTCTTCGGTTCGCCAACGGATTCTCAAACTGTGTCAGACCCGGCCCAATTACTTCGACACAGAGCAGTTTGGCATTCCAATCAATACGCTAGACTCGGTCCACTCCATTAGCACGTTCAGCTGCAATCAGCTGTGGCTCCAACTTCCCAAGTTCGGTATCCAACCCTCCGAACAGGAATGCGAGGATTATGTTGCTCTGTTTCGATATCTAGCTTATGTGATTGGCACACCCACATCCTATTTCGAAACCTCTGCGCAGGCAAAGCTCGTGATGGAGAGTCTCCTCGTGCATGAGCTGCGCACGACGGAAACGTCCCGCGTGGTGCTCTACAACTTCATGGAGTGTGTGGGGAACCTGCCCCATCCATTCCATGTGTCCAAGCAGTTCATCGAGGCAGGAAGCCGGTGGATCAACGGTGATGAGCACTGTGACTCACTCAACCTGGGCAAACCATGGGTGCTCTACTACCTCGTGTTCCTGGGCCACTGCATCCTTGTTACGGGGCTTGCATGGGCGCAGCGTCTAATCCCGGGAGTTGACGAAGCGATGATCAAGGTAAGGGATCATTCACCCTGCATATGCCAGCAGCGGCAAGGACTAATTGGCCGCAGTTCTTCCGGTGGGCCATGTATCAAGGCGTGGTGCTACGCAAATCACGCACGCGATTCAATTTTCAATACGTTCCGCAGATGGGCAAATGCACGGGGCGAGAGAAACACACTGCCGACGCGGGCGATCTCGGGGGGCATAAGCCGTTATCACTCCGGTGGCCTGACTTATCTGTCGTCACCAACATGGGATATTTCGAGATGGTGCTGCTATTCGTGACGATTGGTACGGGGGTTGCCCTAGCTTGGGGGCTGTGTGGGGCGTTGATAGCCTTGAAGGCAAGGCTGGCGGCCTAACCATGCCGAACAAGCACAACGGTTTTTGAACCGGTGGGGCAGGAATGACGAGGTTTACGAGGACTTAGATAGCATATACACCACTAAAGCATGCACCATTATCACTTTTGCCACCCAGTAGTGTAGTCCCTTGATGAGGCTCCTCCTCGCCAAGAAACCTACTGATCGCCTGCAATCAGTCGAACAGCCGTTCGTTGATCATATGTCGGTCGCTCAAACAGTCACAAACCGGTTCTCGACTCCTAACCCTTGTACCTCAGCCCTTGCCTCGCGACTAGGATGACATTAGCATCGCGCCTAGATTTCCATTTACGACGCACCTAATTTTCCAATAAGAAACGGTACCTACATATACAGTCACACCGGCAGTTGCGCCGATCCCACCTGGTCTACAGCATAGTGTACTATAGTATATGATAGCAAGGATAGGTCAGGATAGCAAACCTCCACCAGCCACTATCAACCACCAAGTCCATGCCCATCACACATATCGTCGATTCTCACTGGGCAGCCTTAGGCCGACCGCCCGTATTGTACGAAGGACAAGGGCAGGATATCACACCCGGCTGATCCGCCCATCACGGGCTAAATAAGTGGTTAAGCGAGGTTTTGGAACGGATAGTTTGCTACTATCTGCCTCCCTGCCTATATACTAACTTGATCAGGATAAAGGCTGGCATACCCTACCTAGTTGATGGGCGATATTGTTTAGAACTGTTTATCTCGTGGGTGCGGGGTATATCACACTGATTTACCATGCTTAGGTTATTTCTGCTAGTTTCTATATAAATTTAACTAGTTAGTCCATTACTTATTTAGGTAATAATAAAGTCCTCCAAACAAAGCCATTTATTTTCAAGAAGTAGCCAGTGAATGGATTTCCATTTTCATTTTTTCCAGGCCGGCTATTGTAAGGCAAGTAAGTAAGTATCAGGCTGCAGCAAGGCGGAGTCACCTGAGTGAGAATGAGGCTGCTTACATGCCTCAGGTGAGTAAGTATGAGTAATTGTGTATATGTATGTGTGGAGACAAATAGATTAGTATGTGATTTCGTGATTTCAGGGTTTCATCATTATGCATGCATTGTTGGTAGGATTGTGATGTTTGTTGGATTTTTAAATATAGGTACATATTAGATGATGGGCTTTTGGGGGTGCACGTCAGCCTTGTAAGGGGTGTTACCTATCTAGGTAGTAGGGGTGATAGCCCAGGCCTGGATCGTTTGTGGCTGTTGTAGAGGTGCTGATGCTGGATGGTGTGAGTCAGGGGTATAGCTGTCATTGTGGTTATGGGGTGGGTTGTCTTGTTGGATTGAGTCTTGGGGTCAGAAGTAGGGATACATGCTCGCGTATATTGTGATGGCGAGTCGAAAGGACTGGTATCAGCTGTGCGCCCCGTAAGATTAGGAATCAAGAGAATTTGCAGGCTTTTAGATATGTGTCACAGTTGTTGATATGTAGTCTTTGACAGGAGGACTGTTCCAACTATTGAGCATTACTTTGGGTAAGTACTCTCAGAGGAAAGGACATATCGTTATAGTCACCCCACCATGATGATAACTTCGTGGATAGGTTATCTGGGCTCTAGATTAGAAAACCCCGTTCCGTTTGGTCCTTACCTGCGGGTACTGGTCCTATTCGTCTTCTGTCCTTTGAACCTGGCTACGCTGGAACGAAGTCTATGCCGCATAGTGTAGACCTACAATGACACCTGGGGTGGAAAGTCAAGTAGACCTGTCGGTGGCTCCTTGCGACTTCTCGACTCTCGATATTCAAACCGTGGTCGATACAGACATACCGAAATTCTCCTTTCCCTGTACATCTGCATTGGCCACCGCGGTACGTAGTACTCCTGTTGAACTTGACTAATAGAGGCCAGATACAACAAACACGCGACAAACAGCTCAAAGATGTGCCCAGCCGTCTAGCATCGCGATGCCACTCCAAGTGACACGGAGTCGGAACCAAAGTCTCAAGGCTGAAACCAAATCCAGGCACACATCCCTCTTCGAGCTGCAAGACTTCCAGATCGGATAGACCGATTGTTTGCGAGGATCTCTTGACTTCATGACAGATCCACCCAAACGATGCAGAACAGATCGTCTGGCATCTTCATCTGTTTTCACTATTCGGGGTGATTGCCCACAGACACCGGCATTTTTACATGTGCGTTTATAACGCGCTGCGTCGGGGGAGACCACTCGGACGCTGCTGTCATCTGTTCACTTCACCCCCCAGAAAGGAAATATGATACCGCATTAGACCACGTATATCCTGGGATACCGGTACCAGAGCATTTTTCTGCTATCCACTTGGAGACATGATCGTCTTGATTTGACCGGACGACAAGATATAGCTCCCACGTCCCAGGCGCCATACCGCGACTGCCCCCCGAGATCAATAAGAAATATGGAAATTGATGCAATTTCAGGTATAATGGATCGTGAGCGAGCGAATGGCCTGCAGCCTCAGACATTCAAGACCTTCCATTCAATCAGAGTGGCGGATCGGATCCTTCGCGAAGCCCACCAGCTATGGGAGTTTGTGACGTGGGAATCAGGTGGGGAAGACTCGATCAAGCGGTCATCGATCACGCCGATATCGACTGACGCGGCGCGGTTTACGCAGGCGCAGACGATCAGTCAGGGGTGGTGAAGGGTGAGTTGGAGGCAGATCTGCTGAAGCATTCGCGGCGGAAGGGGTCCGGTCTTCTGTGCGCAAGTACATGGGCCTCTCCGCATGGAAGGCAACTCGAAAGGCGCTGGCGATGTCTGGGGTGCGATTGACCTGGTGGTCGAGACTGATTTCCCTGATATTCAGTGCAGGTGTTTTATCAACTCTTAGGCGGGCACGGTCTATAAAATCCCCCGTGAGTAGGTGGCTCCTGAAGACTACCTGACGCGTTCCTACGTGGACATGAAAGAGGACTTTGACAAGGGGCACGTGGCGAGTGGAAGCTTCAGGGCTGCGTTTTTCTAGACGATATCCTGCCGCACATAAAGGAAGTACCTAGATCGCATCATTTTCAACCGAAGGGTTGTCGAGAAGCAGCGGTCCAGTGGTGGTCAGAGTATCGAGTGGCCCAACGCGTCTTGCCGCAGTTCATCGTTCCCTACTCGGGGGTAGGAGTCGAACATTTTTCATCGGAGATTGCAAGTCTGACCATCTCAAGTCTTCCAATGTCGGCTGACAGATGATCCAATTTTCCATACGGATAGTCCAAAGGTATGCATATCCTGGGCGCAAGGACACCCTTACACGTGTCCAGGCAGGTCATGCGTACAACCTCATGGAAACCGGCATACTCCTTTGTGGGTCTGACGCCGTCCACAGGTCTAGATGAGACTAATGAGATTCTATGAACATATCATACCAAGCGATCCTCCAACGTCCAGCAATTGATAGTCTTTGATCGATACTACTGCAGCGTGCTCCAGGCCGCCCAAAAAGAAAAAGGGCAGGCGGAGACAGTGTATTAAATTCTCCAGCGACCTCGTCGAGGTCTATCGCCGGCCGAAGAGTTTCATCTACATTTATGGGGTTGGGTACCCCGAGAGCAGCGTGTGGAGGATGAGCGCCTGTGAATGCTCGGGCATTTCCACCGACGGCCCGGATCACAGTTATGCTGTCATCGAGCCCGGACGGAGACTGCTTAACATCCAACTTAAGAGATATGCAGATGGAGGTCTCTGCAATCTGCATGATGGTATCATAGCTCCACAGATCCCGCCGTGTTTGGACTTCCTTTGCGACTAGGGTTGCTCCAGGTCTTCCCTCCAACGGCCGTTTCAAGATCCTCCTTTTTGCATCGACCGATCTCTTAGATCCCGACAGACAATCTACGCACCCTCTTCATGTTGCCTCGACGATCCTGCCAAGATTCCCAAGCTCCAGTATCCAGCAGGCAGTGGTATATACTGCGATCCAGGGGGGCATTTGGATGGGAGTCTGTTCCCATACGGTAAAGGAGCTCTGTGAGATGCGATTCGATAATGGGGCTGAGATAGATGATGTATCTGTTGAATACAGGCTGAATACAAATCAAGGAGTTTGGGCGGTCGTCAGGCCCGATAAATACAGTGGAAGTGTTGGGAGACTGGAGGAGATTGAAGGTGTAGAGGATATAGTCAGAGTCACGTTGGATAAGCTTTTATTATATAGTTGGCCAGTCGGTCGCCAAGACTTGCGACAATATTGACACCTGGGGCTCGATCGTTCTCGTTCTGGGAATAGGAACTTTTTCTTTTGATTGTTAGTATTCTCCAAAAACGATATCATCGATTGCACTCCGACTTAACCCCTATATCGTCCATTTCATCTGTTGAGCGGGGCCAATCAATGCGGGCGAATGAATAAGACCAGCGATTCCCCCGAATCATTAATTTCTCCCGCTCTCCTCATCGACCTCCGTCCACCCTCCGAACCCCTCAAAACAACCACTTGTCATAACTCACCCACCCCCCCTCAATCCACACAATGGCGATCCAGTGAGGCTACCGGATGATTCCCGTGTGTTGTATGGAGCTGACAGTCCCCCGTTCAGATACTTGATTCTCCTCTCCCGTCAGGGTAAAGTGGTGCGTTCTCGTGGCCCACCCGGCTTTTGGACCCGCCCGCAAGCTCGCTTGAGACTGACTGAACACAAATTTTATCACAGCGTCTGGCCAAATGGTTCACCACTCTCTCTCCGAAGGAGAAGGCCAAGATTGTCAAGGATGTGACGCAGCTGGTTCTGTCCCGTCGCACCCGCATGTGCAACTTCCTCGAGTACAAAGGTACTAGCCTTCTCTTAGCACACCTCCAGCCCTCCCACGGCCTGTCACTAACAGTCTGACTTGTCCTTAACAGATAGCAAAGTCGTCTACCGTCGCTATGCCTCCCTCTTCTTCATCGCCGGGTGCGAATCCAACGACAACGAGCTGATCAACCTCGAAATCGTCCACCGATACGTCGAGCAGATGGACAAGTACTACGGCAACGTGTGCGAGCTGGACATCATCTTCAACTTCCAAAAGGCATACTTCATTCTGGATGAGCTATTGTTAGCGGGCGAGATGCAGGAGAGCAGCAAGAAGAATGTCCTTCGGTGCATCAGTCAGCAGGATAGCTTGGAAGATATGGAGGTGAGTTAATCTTTCTTCTATCCGTACACAGCACCCGAGGTAGCAGGATCCGGAAGACACATGGGCATCCCTCCTTCGGGGTAGCGTGGTCTTTACGTCCAGTAGCTTTTTGCTGCACCTGTGCCTCCATTTCCCCTCCCCTGTTGTTTTGTTCTTGGGCCCCCCCTAAATCACTGCACGCCCCCACGATGGCCCCTGCTTCTGCGCTGGACCTTACTCCTAATCCCCGGGCCGACACGATGACCCTCCTACCCGACCGTGACTAACGATAACCCCACAGGTCGAGGAAGATGTGGTTACAAAGATCATGTAGGGTGTATTCTACAGACCAGACGTGGCCAAGTGATTCTCCGGGTTTCCTTTGATCTTTAATATATTAATTGGGCATATTCGCTTTGTTGGTTGGAAATGATTGAGGCGTTGGACGTACATAGGCGTTGATTCCCACCAGTCGACACCAGAGAGACTAATAATAACTTGTTGATTTGAACAAACCACGCGAAACAAAGAATTGGGCCGGATTGAATGACGTGGAGGGATGGAACCAAGGATTGAAGAGGGAATGAATTGGATGCCCAGACTTCTCGTGAGGGAACTGCGTCATTTCACTGGTCCATTCCGACCCCACGTGACAGCCTCTCCGCCGGCCTCGTCCATCTCATGATGTGCCTCTCTCCCCCCCCCCCCCCCGTGTCCACCCTCGATTCCCTCGATTCCCCGTCGTGTTCAACTTTCCATCACCTTTTTTTATCGGTTTATCTTTGCCCATCGGCTGTGCCATGGCCTGGTTCCCCCTGACTCTTCCCCGTTAACCTTGACTGTTCCCTCATCACGTCACTCACCCAATCACCGCACCCTGACCGCCCACCCGCTGCTTATCGCCGATCGGCTACGTTGCAATCGACCACGAATCCAGCTTATCTTCGCAGGATTAAAGCACTCCCCTTGCCTGGTTGTCGCGCGACGGAAGATATCTGTTTGACAATTAATCATTTCTCCGACCGTTGAATCGATTCGTTGGAATCGCCGTATTTCTGGACCACGCCGGATCGCACTATCACGCAAGATGAAGGTCCGTTTGCGTTGCGCAAGACAGCAATGCCAGAAATCCCCTCGACTATATGCTTACCACTCTTAATACTACAGTTTCTTCCTTTGCCAGAGATCGAGGACGTGACGAGTTCGCTCAACTTCGACACCGCCGATTGTCACATCCTAGGGGGCTGCGACCTCTACACCACCAAGGCCGCTCGGGCCGATCGGAAATTGTACAAGAACATCGAACAATCACTCGAATCCCAGTATGAATCGGTGCTGCGTCTGTCGGCATCGCTATCCCCGCCAAATGCGACCGACGCCGCCGCGTCGCTGAATTTATCACGTGCCAGTCCGTTCGGGCCCCTGAGTGAACACTCGAGTCGTCGGACATTTGCGTATCTGATCGCGACACTGAACGCGAGTCACCCGGACTACGACTTTTCCCACGTCTTGCGCCCGACGGACTTTCATCGCGAGCGAAACTTGAAGCGTGTGATGAACACGGTCGATACGACCCTGTTCAACCTGCGACCGCGGGAGGCGATCGACGTGACCCCCCCGTCACCCGGCACGATATCCGGTTCCTACAATGCAGAAGCGTCGTCCACATGGGGGCCAAGGATGTGGAGGATCATCGACGAGCAAATGTCCCTGAAAGAGTGTTCGATCTACTCTTACTCGCCGGACGAGGACCCGTCAGACGCGGACGATGGCGCGATTTGGAGCCTCCACTACTTCTTCTTCAACCGTCTACGAAAGCGCGTCAGCTACCTCTATCTTCGTGCCATCCCCATCCTAAGTCACACGCCGAGCGAAGGCCTCGCGACTCCCACGACAAAGCGGACGTTCGACGATGGATATCTCACGCCCGCCGACACGGGATCCAGCAAACGCGCCCGGTACTGGCTGGGAGACCAAGCCGAGCTCGAGCCGGAGAGCGAAAGCGAGGAAGAGGACAACACGAGGCCAACGAGGCCGGTGGTTGACGAGTATGATAACTATATGCTCAGCGACGAGGAGTTCCGGTCCCGGTCCGGCAGCAAGGCAACTGTGCGCGCCATGAGCGAGGAAATTGCCGACTCAATGGACCTGTAACCAAGATTGTCTTGATATCTCTTGTTTCGATTCATGTTTATACTTTTTTTTTTCTGTTTCTTTTTTCTGCTTCTGCTCCATCGTTGGCATTGCTTTGGGATTTCTTCCGTTTTAAGGCGTTTTTGACATGCATTCAACCTGCATCGGCAAGGTCGGGGAGTTTCGGATCCCGGCACAGGGGAGAACAGGCTCCTTCCCCCATATTAATATCAGTATCAGGACGAGACGGGAGCTTTGGGCCTAGATTTGACGATGATGACGATTGAGCGCTCCATACCCCTGCGTAATGGCGCGCGACTGCGAGGAGACGTTGACGTTGTCCTTGTTCTGTTCTATATATATGAACTTTTTTCTTATGACAGTATTGAACTTGTTTCTTCTTTCTTCTTCACTCTGGTTTGTCTCATGACATTGTAGACCATCGCCACTCGTCATGGTCTTGCTGTCCCTCGAGAGACCAAGTATAGCTAGGAGCCTGCTATTCTATACGACACCGCGTCTCCTTCGGTCATTGTTTTCAGCAACATCGGTCTATTTACCAAGATTCAACAAGAAAATGCATCAGATAAATTATCCTGTTGACGAAAGCCGACATACATGAGAAGGAGGCCAAGACGTAGACCGAGGTCGAAAGGAGTAACGGGACGGGTCTCCGTAACCGGGGTCTTTTCTGGCATTTCTGTCATTGCGTATTGAGTGTTAACTCTGCAGTTCTCGATTGGATAAATTGTTTTGTTAAAAGCATGACTGAATGCTCTCACTTTCCAGTGAGGGTCAAGTCTCTGATCACGGACATATCTATATATGTACATCGTATAATGCGGGGTGAAATGGACAGGGTTGTGAATTCCCGTCTGTCCTGCGTTAGAAAATTTGTTGTATATCAACCATGCTTTTCTTCATTCTAGTGAAGATATATCTATGAGCCAGAGGTCTCAAGTCAAAGTACCGTGTCCATGTCGTCAGATCTACTCCTGGCCTGGTGATATCACGCTGGTGATATCACGCCTCAGGCACCACTGCGATACGGGCAGATGGTCCGTGCACGGGCGCAACAACTGGCCTGATAATGCTGCTGATCCATTCCACCTCCTCCTTCCCTCAAACCTCCCACTCACCGACGTCCTCGTCTCTCTTGTCACACCACAATTGCGTGCTGATATCCAACATGGTCGACGAAGAAGAGCGCGTCAAGGCTGAAAAGCTCGCCGCCGCCAAAAAACGGGTACATCCATCCATCCATCCTCCAACGGAGCATAGCTAGCTGGATGACACGCGCATACTAACCCATGACAATAGGTAGCGCAGCTCCAGAAGAAGAAGAAGGGCGGCAAGAAGGCTGGAGGGACATCGACCAGTGAAGCTCCTAAAGAAGCAGCCGAATCTACCGACCAGACGACCCCCGCTACGGAAGTCTCGACGCCCGCGGAGGAAGATCAAGACAAAGCGGATAGCAAGGCGGACGAGGCTGCGCCCAGCTCCGATTCTCCACCTCAAGATGACACCCAACAATCACAGCCCGCACCGCAAGCGGAGGAATCTCCTGTTGAACCGATGCCCGATGCTCCGACCGACGTGCCCACCTCCCCCTCACCCGACGCCGACCCCCAGCCCGCCTCCAAGTTAGAAGCTCCGTCGGGAGGCGCTCACGGCCGCCAGCCGTCGCTATCGATCCAGTCGAAGATGCGCTCGTCATCGTTCCGGAAGACTTCGGTGTCGCAGGGTAGCAACAATAACAACTTGGCGCAGTCGCCGTCGACGACGATTAAGTCGCCTTCGCTGCCGCCGCTGTCTGCTGACGGGGAATCGGTGCACGAGGTGTATAAGAAGCAGGCGTCGCGGATTGAAGACCTTGAGAAGGACAATAAACGGTTAGAGAAGGAACTGGAGGAAGCGTCCGCTCGGTGGCGCAAGACGGAGGAACAGCTTGAGGACTTGCGCGAGGCTAGCGTGGACGTCGCGGAGCTGAAGGATAAGCTGGAGAAGGCGGAACAGAAGGCTGGGGATGTAGAGGAGCTGGTAAGTGGCTACGTACCCTTATGTGCTACGTGTTTGAATCGGTCTAATGGAAATGCTATAGAAAGCAGAGATCGCGTCTCTTCAACGACAGAATTCCCACTTGCAGACCAGAACACACCGGAACAACGCGAGCGTGTCGTCCCCTGCGGCGTCTGAGTCGCCCCCGGCGGAGCTGACGCAGCAGCTAGAGTCGAAGTCGGCCACCATCGAGGCCATGGAGCTAGAGATCTCGAACCTGCGCGCACAGCTGAGCTCCAGCAGCACCCACGAGAGCCAGATCGCCGCGCTGGAGGAGAAACTGTCCACCAGCGAAGCAGCGTTGGAGCGTTCGCAGCGCGAGCTATCAGATACCAAGGCTGCGTTGACGCGGGCGTCCGAAAAAGCCGTCAAAGAAGGCGTCGACAAGACCTCAACAGAGACACTAATCAAGAGCCTCCAGCGCGAAGTCGAAGAATTAAAGAACGACAAGACCGAGTCCGAGAAGAAGCTCGACACGCTCGAAAAGAAACAACAAGCAATGACCAACTTACACAAGGAGACCGAGTCCCGGCACCAAGCGCGCCTGCGCGAAAGCGAAAAGACCGAAAAGGAGGCCGCCATGCAGCGCAAGCGGCTCGCCAGCGTCGAAAATGACAACCTCCGCCTCAAAGACGAGCTCGAAACCCTGCGCAAGCGACACTCGGGCACCTCAGGCGGCGGCGGAGCCGACGACGACGCAATCGACGAGCTCGAAGACGAAGAGCGCTCCCGCCTCCACCGCCGCATCCGCAGCCTCGAAGGCGAAATCTTCGACCTCCGCCGCGGCGTCTGGCAAGAGAAACGCGAGGAACTGGCCGCCGCAGGCGGCGAGTACCCAGCGGAAGGCGTCCCCGACTTTTCAGCATCATCATCCAACGCCAACGCCAACGCCTTCGACGACGTCGACCTCATCGGCGGCAGTGGCGCCGAACACGCCCGCCGACGCAGCATGGCCCAACAACAACGACACTCCTCCTTCTCCACCGTCCTGTCAAGCGGCCTCGCCGCCTTCACCGGCAGCAGCAGCGGGCCGACCAACCGCACCCGCACCCCCTCCCACCCACAACAACATCACGGCCACGGCCACGCACCAGGCAGCCTCGAGCTCCTATCTGAAGAGAACTTCGACGACGAGTTCGACGAGGCGGAGTTTGCGCGCGCGCAGGCCGAAGAAGAGGGCCGGAAGCGCGTGGCGTGGGTGCGCGAGATCAAGACTAAGCTGCGCGATTGGCAGGGGTGGAGGCTGGATTTGGTGGATAGTAGGGCTGGGGCTGAGGGGGCGGGCGTGGGCATGGGGGAGATTTTTGAGGTTTAATTTTTCTTTGGCCTCTCTTGATTCTTTTTGAGATGGTTGATTAGATTAGATGAGATGAGATGAGATGATATGGTTTCCCCTTTTTCCCGTGGTTTTTTTCTTAGGAGCTGGTGGTTATGTTCTATATATATCCGGCCGAGGAGACCTTTTTACGTTGAAGAGCTTCCAATAATCACCCTACTATGGATACTAAGTATGACGTACGAAGTACGCAACAATAAATAGTAATATATATATGTAGTAAACATAGTAAAGAATACCCATCAGAATCAATTGTACAAAATAAAGTAGTAAGTACCTGGTATGTAAACAGTAAACACCGAACAAGCGAGCTAGCTAACCTACAGACCAAAACAAACAGCTCAACCCGGAAGGGAAGACCAATAAAAAACAATAAGAATTGAAAAAGAAGGGGAAAAAACAAAGAACTATTTATTCATCAGCCTGATGGATCCTCCCATTCAACACACCCTCACTGACACCACTCCTCTTCCGCCTCACCAGCTCAACAAGCCACCCGGAGATCTGATAAAGCCACCCCCCCGTGACAACCACTCCAGACACGGTATTCACCAGTCTAATAAGCAGCGAGAGGAAGCTCCCCCGCTCTTCACTGATGAGCAGCAGGATCGGCTCGATGTTATACTTGAAGAAGATGCCCGGGATGAAGAACGGGCTCTCGGGCAGCGGGGTCGCCTGGCTGGTTGCTGCGTACTGGTTCGTGAAGACGAGGTTGCGGGAGGAGCGGTGCGTGTCGGGCGAGGGGGGCGGGAGGGTGCTGAAGGTTGTGTCGACTGCGCGAGAGCCCTTGGAGTAGATTGTCGGCACGATGGAGAGGAAGTACTGGTATTTGTAGTAGTGGGCTTCGGTGGAGGCGATGGTTTTGTCGAGCGGGTTGGCGATTGTTGGGTAGTGCGGGCCGAAGGAGAGTTCGTTGATTATGTGCGTGAAGTTGAAAGCTGTTTTATCTCGACGTGAGCCGTGGTCTTGTTGACTTTGTGGTCTGGGTGTGATAGTGGGATGGAACGGTATGGAGGGATTGAGGGGAAAGGGACGTACCAGAATGATCCAAATGGCCCTGAAAATCCCTATACCCATGTCCCCTCGCCGTGATATGAAAATCCCCCTGCACCTTATTCCCCTCGAGACTGCCATAAATCCGACACGAATCAACCATATCCCCCCTCCGCAGCTTCGGGCTCTTCGGAAACTTGCGGCGCGGATTGTGCCGCACCTCGCCGAGCACATGGCCCACATGCGTATCCGTCTCCTGCTCAACCCGGCGCGCCTCATCCTCCTGATTCAGCGTCTGGTACTCGTGGCTCCCGTCCGACAGCTCCTGGTTGCGCTTTTCCATCCACAGCTGCCAGGAGGTGGGCTCGCGCTTGAGCATCTCGCCGGCTAGGATGCGGTCGCCGGAGGCGTCTTGGATGTTGACGTGGAGGGTGTCGCAGGGCATTTTGATGACGGTGTCGAAGTTGAGCTGCAGGTCGTGCGAGACGCCCTTTTCGACGCTGAAGTGGTGCGTCTCGGTGCCTTTGAGCCAGGTGCGGAACTCTGTCAGGGAAAAGAGCGTGCACACGGCGAGGATGAGGACGGTCCATTGGCCGCCGCGCCGGGTTGGGGTCGTGTAGGTTGCTTTGGTTTTGGCTGTGGTGGTTTTGTTAGTTTTCTTTGCTTTTGCTTTATCTTTCTTTGTCTATATTTCTCTCTCTGAATAATGACTGAATGATTGAGTCAACGTACGAAAGGCATCGAATGTCTTCAGCCCGCCCTGCAACCCGGGCTTTTCCCCGAACGCATCCTCGTCCAGGTGATGTTTGGAATACCCATTCATTATGAGTTAGGGGTAGAGACGATTCACGACATGAATGAGAGAGACAAAAGACCACGAATTCCCTAATTGACAGCTAAATGGGAAGAAACGAGGGAGTCAGCTTGGGGGCGAAGGAGGTCGAGCGTCGGCGAGGCGGAGAGTCGCGCAAAGGCCAAGTAAGCCCGTTTGGGGCTCTCCTTATCGGGCCGCTTATCGGATGTGTTTATTTAGTTTGTCCTCTTTCTAGTATTCACTTCCAGTCATGGTCATTATTTGAATTCTACCCTCTCTTCTAACTCAGTAACCCTGCAAACCACCTTCCACAAGAACGATAAAAGCGAAGGTCAAAAGAAAACAACACCGCTCCTCCAAAGTATATGCATCAAGGTCAAGCTCATATAACATCATCCACACCGTCATCCTCTACCACCGCTCATCAGACGGCATGGATATAGTGAGAAATAAATATACAGCGACTGCATCAAGGCCTCCAGTAGTTCATGGACCCCGGATGCACATACAGTCTGATGGTCGTAAACGAAGGACATGAGTGCAAAAGTCAACAAATCAACAAATCCCCGGTCATAACAATGCCATACGAGAGGCTGCAAGAACAGAAGACAACGAAAAGACAAAAGAAGAAGGAAAACAGAACAAGACAACACATCAAGCAAAAGACGAGATGCTCAATTAGGGTATAATATCAACTCTCGTCTATCTCTCGTGTGCTCAATTTCCATCATGAGACAACGAGAAGAAAGAAACAAAACAAAAGAGACAGAAATAAACAAAAGGAACAAGAAAAAAAACCCCTCCGGTCTATGCAACAAAAGACACAACCGAATACTATTACAGACGTGCAACAAAGAAGAATAGGGGAAAAAGACTACTGACGGAACCTGTCACATCATTTGGTCCTCTGAGTGACTAGTTAGTGACCAGTCCGCGGTCCTAAAGTTGCGCCGGTACTTACCAAGCTGGTGGCTGCCGCCGCCGTGGCGAGATCCGGCTTCCCACTGATACTCCTCGCGGACACGCGAGGGAGTCCCGAGGCGGACCCCGGTGCAGTGGTGGTGTTCGTGCCTCGCCTGGCGGGCGTCGACGGTGGTAGCCCGCTCACCGTGGAGTGCCGCTTTCCAGTCTGGTGCCGGATAGGAGAGGTTCCCGACACGTCGCGGCTGCGGATGAAGGAGCCGCTCTTGAGGCCCGTTCCTGGTGGCTCAGGCAGAGGGCGGCTGGAC